ACAGTTGGCGTATATGGCTGTGAAATCATTTGCTATGTATGATAAAATTGGATCGGATCCTCATAGGAAATTAACAATTTCCTTGGCAACTTCTGGTATGGAATTGACCGATACATTAGAACTCGACCCTAGCACCAAATCTCAATACTTACATTTACCGTCGTTGCCAACAAAAGTTTTCGTCTACGCTACTGGCGCTGGATGTTCTACAATACAAGTTCGTATCACTTTCGTTTGTTTTAAACATAATAGATAAATCCGATTGAACATATTTATTAAAAGCATATAAATACTCGTACAGTGTGTTCGATCATCCCGTGTCTAAAAAACATTTAAACACCGATGAGTAATATTTTAATAAATTACATACAAATTATCTATAATCGATCAGTGTATTATATTATGTTCGAGAATTAAAATCTAACAATATTCTATGTATTTTATGAAAGATAAAATGATATAGTTGACAAATAAATATGGTGTTAAAATAAGATGTTGACCGTTAAAATGAAAATTACCTATATTAAAATATGATGATTCGAATCGTGAAATCAATTGCCTTTTCTTTTTCTTTTTTTTTCAAGGGGAGAGTGCTTTATTCCACGTACACCAATGCAGAAAACGATAAGAAGGCGTTTGATTTGTGGTCAGGAGTCACCGATGTAATCCAACCGAGTAAAGGTTTTACGGACGAAATATATGGACATGCGATTACGTTGAGATTAATGTCTTGTTTTAGGTACTTGTATACGAAACTAATCGCGAACAATAACATAGAACGATATAGATATAAAATATAGCATAATGATATATCGATGTTTTTTCATTTTTTTAACAGAATGAACAACCAGTCAGAAGACGCTGTACGATTGGAAGTGAAACTTTTCTCCGGTTATTACTTTGACAAGATTTCTTCAGCGAGCGTAACAGATGTGCATTACGATTCGCATTCTAATCATATTTGGTTTGTCTTTGCCAAGGTAAATTATAATATTATTTTGTCATCGGTCTCCAATCTGAACTATATTTTAAATAATATCTGTGTGTCACAGGTAAAGAGCGGTTGTGCCGTTTGCGTATCATACACGGCCAAGGGTATCCAGAAAGTAACTGGACTTCGGCCGGCCGTAGCGAAAGTCTACGTAGTATCCAGACCGGATCAGAGCTCGTACAAATTGTTCCACGTGGACGAAGAACAAAATCCACTAGCTGAAGGGTTGACCGACATGCAAATCGCCGACTGGATAACCAACGACTCTAACGGTATGTCAGCCGATGAATATTATTATAGTTACCCCCCCCCCCAAAAAAAAAATAATATGTACCTAAGAATTACCTCCTACCCAGTACCGCAACTAGAAGATTCTTGGATAGTAGCTGCTAACCCAGAATTTCGTTCTTCGATAAGTGTGAACAAATTTTACATTGATTTATTTTGCTTTTATTTAGGATTGCCACTCGAGAACAACAATCCGTGTAAGTGTTACAACCACTGCGAGCCTTCGACAACGGAAAAATCTGTCATCCAGACAACCACACCAAGTACTCCAGAACAAAAACCATCGGAAATAACCGTCCCGTTGGAACAAGTCACCGATGCACCGGTATCCACTGCGACACCACAATTAATGAGTACGGATGAAGTATTGCTAGAACAAGGGATTGTGACAATACCAATAAAAACCAAACGAGCACCAATCAAGTCGAGAGGTCACATGATGGGAAGAATGAAAAAGCCCAACAAGAAAAATGACAGTGATATGGATTTCAATAAACACAGGACATCTAGTGACGGTGCAGACTCTGGTATTTCGAGTAACCCGACATCTGGTAATATAGGTGGCAATACCGACGCTAGGATACCCGTGTCCAGTTCTATAAATGGTAATCAGATGAATGGAATGAACCAGATGAACCTTGGAAGAACGATAATTACTGGTACGCACGGTAAGCAGTCGACTACGACAGGAAAACCAATGACTACGACTTATAAGTCGGTGACCACGACTACCAAAAATGTTACCGCTACAACAGTACGTATTACCACAGCCGGCAGCCTTGTCACTTCGGCAACACCCGTTTACACCTCGACGGTATCAATCGCTCCAATCAAATCTTCGACGATGAGTATGACGAGTTTGAATACCCAGACACCAAAAATGTCCCCAATGACTAGCAGCACGACAGCCGGACCTACAGTACAACAAATAACTCCCTCGACAGTTAAATCTTTGGTATCGTCCGTGACCACCGCCAAGTTAAATGATGAGCCGACGTCTACGACCACAGCCAAGACACAGCAGGTAACATCGACCATGAAAATGACCCAGTCGCCGGAGGTGAAATCGACCACAATCCAGTCACCGACCATTACGGTCAAGTCAACACAGATGACGTCGACATTAAAACCAGCTTCTGCGGCTGTAGTGACAAAATGGACACCATCTCTAGCTCCAGCTTCTCAAACTGTGAGAATAACCACGACCGCGGGCATACCACCAAATCCCGTTTCTACCACTCCGGTCGCCGACCTCATAGTGGATGCAAATCGAACGAAAAAAATACTTGCCGACACCCCGGTCGACGAGAAGATGACAAACTCAAATTAACCTCAAAAGTATAATTTACTTTCTGTTAATAATATGTATAATTTCAAAACTATGAATTGCTCCAAAACATGTTTACTATAATATTACTATTTACAAACTCAGATTAACGATACACCGAAACAATCCATGGTTGTGTGTATATTTTGAACGCATTTCCGCTTTAAGTTATCGATATTTATTTAGGTACATATACTTACCTAGTTAAAAGGAGAGTTAAATTTTTTTTTTAGACATAATATTTACACAACGGCACAATGGACATCGACACAACACACGATATTGTACGATTTTTCTATTACAAACCATATCGTTGTCCAAATAGACATGGTTTTACTTGAAAAAAATAATGCTTACAATACGACACTTAATTAATATAACTTAGGTACGCATATAATCAGATAATATATTAAAATGGAAAAAAACTAGAATACTCGTACACCATCATTACATAATATTAATAAAGTAGACATACGATTTTTAACATCGAGATTGACAATCAATGTATAGATTTGAGTTTCAGGCGTTATAGATAGGTACCTTAGTCTTGTAAACAATATAAGCATATTATTACTGTGCATTTTTTTTTTTTTTTAGACAAAAAAAAATTCATAAAATGCTCAACAAATAATATAATATAATATACGATACATAATATTTTATAGAATGTAATACCTACGCCAATTTTTCAGAGATGCGTTTTTGTTTTGTTTTTTGGTGCTTTTTGGTTAGTCAATTCGTTTTTCTGTCCAAAATATTTTAATTACATCCGTTTTAGTTATAGCAGGTAGGCTTTACGGAACAATTAACGGTTATCGAAAGTAGAACTAAAGTATAGTACGAGTAAAAGCAAAAGAAAACTTTACGCGATTTGCTTTTCTAAATAATTTGTTATAATAAAATTGATCTAATAGGTTATATCATGATGGTAATGGTGTTAAAATTCATAGTATTTTTATTAATATAAATTCGATATTATCGCACTTGCAAGACACTATTATTTTTAACACAAATCGGCACATATTTTTTAGTATATTAATATTATAAATTTACTAACAGTTATTATTAATTAATTAATGCACGCGTTTTCACTATCTAACGTACAGACTAATAATATTATGTACCTTTTCGGCCACACTATCATCATTATATTTTCTGATTGTTTTTCATTCTTTTTCTTCAAAAAAAAATATATATGTTACAATATGTACCTATAATCGTTTTATTTATAAATATACGTAAAATCCATAGTTGCACATTACAGACAGTTTTCAAGTAAAATGGTCATATAATAACCTGTAATTGACTCACGTCGTATATTATGAATTATAGCGCACGCGTCGCAACGACGAAGTGTGTTAGTTCTATATAATATTTTTCCGGTACGATTTATTTTTTTAAACCTTTTAACTAGTTTTTTTTAGACGTTACCTGTATATTATAATAATATTATTTTCCATCGAAAATTGTATTCTTTTACCTCAACGCACATTATTATAACAACATATTATTAAGTACAACATTATTATATTATTAAAAAAATTATTTAAAAACGTATAGCGTGCTGTCGTTGGATGTTACAACTTTTGTATACTACTTGTATTTTATTGTTGCAATAAATGTGTAGCGATGCTCAGTATCTATATAAACATATTATGCATATTATTTTAATGTATAACATGTTTATCATTAATCATCATCCACTTTTTTCATTTCCTTTGTTTATATATAGGTACAATAAAAAAAAAAAAAAAAAAGGTAAATTAATAAAACGATTTAACATTTTGAACTATTTCTAATATTAAATATAACTATTAGGTATTATGATACGTTTTTCAAATATTTAATGTGGGTTGAACTTCTACAAATCCTCCCACGTTGTATACGTGCCTGTAACTATCTACTTACCTACTCAATAAGATTACGAGATTTCGAATACACACACTTATTATACATGATAGGCATTTTGAGTGATTAGGTTTTCAGAAATAATTTATAACAACAAAGTCGCTTGATGAATAGAAATATAATTGTGTGTAGAATTTCAATCCTCGCCCGTCACATTGAGAAAAATCTACAAACTATGTAGGTAGAATAGTTATGTGGAGGAAACGAAATATATGTATTCAATCGTACGTATATAATTGGACGATAATATTTCAAAACAAGTTTTTCTTAATTTTTTAGAATTTAAAAATATATAACTTTGTAAGCATTTAATAACAAACCTATTGAGTTTTAAAACGTTTATATGTATAGGTTATTTTATTCTTCCATTGCTTAATCGAGGCCATCCAGGTCCTTCGCTGTAACCATCACGTCTCTTCATACGCCGTATATTACTCTTAGCATTTACAGGTCACGCCTAACTCTATTTATCAATCTTTATCTCAGTTGTCTTAGTGGTGTCTTTCCATAAGGAATCAATCATGTTACCTTTCGGACTATCGGACTATCTGATCCCGTGTTCGATATAATATGTCCTACCCAGCTAATACGTTTGCTCTTCATCATTGTAACTACTTCCACTTCACCGAACATTTCTCAGAGCTTTAAATTGGTTCGTCGTTCTATAAGCCTGTAAAAGACCTTCCTCTCGAATACAACTATTTTTTCTACGTCTGCTTTTGAAGTTGTACTTATCTCACTCACATAAAAAGCAATTGGATGCACTGCTACCGTGTATAGTAGAGGTTTTGTAAGGGAAAAAATTTTGATTTGGAAATATACTTAACGGCGAAGAAACATTGATTTTTTGTTAAATTTAAATGACGAAATGATTACCTCTATTTGCAATTAATTCTATATATTTTTTTTTTCCTCGGTTCTAACAAGAGCTGAAAGAAACGGTATCTAAAGCTTAGGTCCTATTAATCATAAGCACTGTTCATAATAAAAAGGTTATTATGTACTATAAAAACTATAGAGCTATAGACCTTCATTGATAGGGGTACTACTGGACACGTCGTACAAGGTACTATCGAATGTACTGTTTGCCAGATTAAAGTCTGATGGTAAGGAAACAAAGTTGATAGGTAAAAATTATAATAAATGAAAATAGTTATCTAATATATAATAATAATATTTGTATTTGTTATCTGTGTATCCAAATACATTTATTTTGATATCAATAAGAAAAAGACAATTACGTGGCATACATACAAATAGCAACGATATTTAAAACATTTTGGACTGGTTACGTTGGTTAGGCTATAATTTCGTTTAAAAAAATGTATATAAATAAGACCGCTTTTCAATTAGAAATTAAATTTATGTCTTAGGTAATCTCTGAAAAAAAAAGTCTCGGGCCACTAGATTTTCAAATCTTCCTTGGACGATTGGTCCCCAGGCAAAGCCTCTGTATGTACATGCATTGTCTACATAATTATTAATTATTTACAAATTACTATATGGAACATATTTTTCGGGAGTATTTTCTCAAGATCCAATACGAAAAACAAAATGTTTGGTTTTTTTCCTACATAATAATCGTTCCGAAAAATTGTCCCATTTATAGTTAGGTAACCACTGAGACCATTTTAGTAGATATATTTGAGTTGTTAACATAAATAAATTTAAATTAGTAAATTAAACTAAAACGTTATTATTAACAAAATTAAATAAAATGTAATATTTTTATCGTACATTTTCGGTTTTCTAATATTATTATTATTATATAAATCGAAAAAAATGTGTATTTTAGTTTAAAAAAAAAAATTCGTGTGAGGATTTTCGAGGCAAATCACACAATGTGTATTTTATATATTATGACGTCGTATTCTCACCGCGCAGGGCTAATTCATAACAATATAATACGCCACCATCACCGACGAAGACTGACGGCGTAAATGACCAACATGAGTTTTCACCAAAAATTTAATAATAATTACATAATATATAGTTTATAATCGGATAAATTTCAAATATCAGCGCTCATTTCCCGAGCAATATCTTTCGGGTGGCCCCGAAACTCTGTCCGGCCTGTGTGGCCCCCTTGTTGTTGCCGGCCTGCAGCCCGATGACCCCTTCACCGGCCCGCAACTGCGTCTCGCTCCATTCCCGCTTGTTCTCCTCGGACGGTCTGGGTCCTAGGAAAGGACCTCTCCATTCCGGGTGTTTGTACGCCTGCAAGAAACGGACAGGGGGGATTTACGATAATATGTCGTTTTCGGTGGGATGTAATTCATAGTGGGGAGAAGCCCACGGAGTTTTACCAGCTGGTTCACACAAGATAAGTAAATAGGCAAGTGAAGTTGCCGAGCTGTATTATACTTGAAACAAATAAACCACTCAATATGATATAATATCATTTATTCCATTATGCTTTGTGTGAACAATCAGCTATGCTTCATCGCGCTGAAATCAGCAAACTTACCGTCCGACCAATGGCAAACACGGTCATGGTGACTCTGTAAATGTTTTTCTGCTCCCACAAGTCGACAGACTGGAACAGGTCCACGTCCGGTACACCATAATTAATGCAGGCCTTTTGAAATCTTAAGAAAACAAATTATTATTTATTACAGATTATTATTTAGTGTTGACGGTCAAATCACCAGTAAATACAAGACTATAATAGGTATCTACATTTACTATAAGTATATGTCCGATTTCCACTCGAATGCAGTTTGATATAATCCTAAATGATTCACATAAGCAAAGTATACACTTACTTCTTAATCTGTTTGATAACCCCTAAGTTATAGTCCTCTTTTAAGTAGTTGTTAAAGTTTGATAAACTTTCGTATCAGATGTTTAAGTTTTATAATATTATAACGGTACAAATCGATAAAACGGTTCAGTAAACGAAGGTGTGCAAATCTCAATGTTTAATAATTACTTTAGTCGTAACATTATAAATTATTACATTAACACGCGTTTATGTTGAAATAAATTTTAAGGCAAAACTTTCGACGTGAAATAATATATAATCGAAATTTTACAAACTATAATTATTGTACTTACTGGCTGATATTGTCCATCATTTTATAATCGCCGCCCGACGTGTTGATTTTTGGCACGATACCCGGCGCCAGTTTGTTCATGAGTTTGCACAACAACACGCCGTCCCTGAGCGCATACTCGAACGGCAAACCTGTAAGTCGTCCGATTTTGCGGATTTCAGTTGTTAATAAAAAAATATACGACTAATTTGAATTGATTATTTTCAATTACCAGCCGGAAACTTTTCGCCGGTCACCGCTTCGATCCATTGTTGGGCTTCCACTTCTTGTTCCGGGTCTCTTTTACCGGCGACCTGTAGCCAAAACAAAAATAAAATCGTTTTCCATAGTTACTATTACGACCGACAAACTTTTACGTTTTATATATTTTTAGGCTGATTTTTCTGTTGATCAATCTGTAAAATATTATAGATATCTGCTAAGGTTAGGTTAGCTTTAATGTAAATAGCTTCTTAAGAATATTTCCTATGCATTTGTATTATTATTATTATTAAACTCAACTGTAATAAAGTTAAATGAGTAGATACTGGAAATAGGAAATCATATACTTTATAGAAAAAAAAAATCGGCCTTTTGACGTCATAAAACAAATTTAAATCGTAACAAATTTTCCCTTAAACCAGCTTTTATGATGGCCACTTTTTTTAATATGCCCATAAAACGCGTTGAATTGGTTTTTTGGAAACTTTAAACTGACATATCTTTTTCGCTTTATTTAATTTACTGAAGTTATAAGCAAATCGACTTGTTCGCCTCTGATAAATGTATATGTTACATCAAACGTGTACGTCATAGTGATATTGACAATATAGCTAATTATTGGACTTAACTCTGGTTTCGTACATATGATTATTTTTCATTGACGTATACCACAGACAATATCGACAAAACAACAATAACGACATAATAATAATAGTGTGTGGAAAAATATCGTTTGGATATGAAAACGTGTGTAATAGGTACCTATCGTAGTGTTATAATACCGACTCGGACGTATCTCCAATTTGGATTTTAAACAGGTGAGTCAAGTGTATCTGGCTAGCCAGTCTCTAAATGTAGTTACTTCCATATCGGGTGATACCGTATATGGAGTACGGCTGTAAAATATGATAATGAAGTATATGTCAAGGCGATCTTATTAGTGTAAATACTGTGCAGAATGTAATACTGGATCGATGCGATCGAATCGTATTGATGTTGCGAGATGTTATTCATATTGGTTTGCGAAATAAAATTGTAAATAAATATACATAATATCGACCTGAACAAAACTCAATTTATCCAAAAAAATATGTGAATATAATATTATCGAACTATGTTTTTTTTTTTTTTTTTTTTAAGTTAATCATTTTTTGTATCGTTAAACGACATGTTATAATAATAATAATAATTATTATCATTATCTATTAGTAAATTGAATAACACATTTTTGTTTTTCATTGTCCAAAATATTATTACGGAAACCAAACGGTGTTCCGGTGTTCGTACTTAAGGATAGGAAATTCTATCTTGTTGGTGCATTGTTTCTCTTGCTTTTTCGTAATAATTGGAAAAAAACGTGGAAGAGCGAAACAAATACGGTATTATGGATTTTGTTATTTTATGTTGTTATCCCTTTAAAAATAACTGATGAGGCTTGAATTTTTCACCGAATAATAGACATAGTACAATTTTTAAAATATTTTTGAAATTTTTGAACAATTTATAGCTATATAAAATTATCAAGTTTTTTAAAATTTGGATTTGTTTTTATGAGGATAAAATTTGCCAGTAAATTAATATAATTGTTCTTGTGGAACTACACAAATATCGAAAATCAGTAGTCACAAATTCAATTTTTTTTTTTTATATATATAAGTGAACATAAGTGTTTTTAATTCAATTTTTAATGAAAATCTATGAAATCTCAGATTTCAAGTACCATTTTCTGATAAATGTGGATGCAACTTATCGGCTCTAAAAATTCTCCAAAATATGAGACGAAAAATTCTGACGATTTTAATTTATTTTGTTTTTACAAATTAATATAATTTTCAATTTGGGTTTATCAAAACATGTTGAACATAATCGTATTTCGTTTGCAATCATTTATAATTTTGTAAATATTTAAATTGAATTACTCTATAACATTATTATATATTTTATTTATTTATTTATTATTTGTAACAGGCCTCCTATCCATAAACATGAGTTTCTAGTACGAGGAGCGTACTGACGATGTACAAAACTCCCGAAAACTTCTGGCTTTGTTTTTTTTTTATATATATTAAAATAAGACTTCATAATAAAAATAACTATGTGAATACCGATTTAATCTTACAAATTATATGTACAGTATTTCAAAAAAAACGTATAAAATTAACCTAGTTTCGGTTACCTAATTGATTAAGAATTCGTTCCGGGAATTCGTAATGCTACAAGTAGCTATATCGATGAGGAATTCTTGATAATCCGAAGGCCGACACGTGTTTGAGACGTTCATTATTTGATTTTCATCAAAAATTTAAAAAAAAAAAAAATTTATTTTTAAGAATATAAAATTGGATATTTTTAATTGGTCTTACATGTACTCGTTTTTTTTTTTCAGTAACCGAGACAATAAATCATATTTGATTTGTTTATCAAAAATTGACCGAGATCCAAGTTCTATTTGAGAAACATTTAATAAAACCCCCACCTTTACAGCGCGAAACGGGACCTTCGTAACACTACAGCATGTATATACTTGATTATTTGCCAACGACGAGGGTTTATTTATTTCGTATAAATAAAAATCCGATGATATTGAAAGACAAACGCATCAGACGATATTATTATATTATACTTGATATTGGCACGTGTGCCGCATTTCGCGCATGGAAGAATTTCGAAAATTATGTTATCGTAAACTAATATACGGTGTCGGTACTCTGAGCTACAAAATTAATGCACTTAAAAACCCCTTCGAGAAAACACATGAAATTTAAAACCAACATGTATTAAATCTTCACAAGAACTGTTTGAATTTCGCTTAAAATTCCGAAAATGCATTACAATTCAAAACATGTAATAAACTGTATGAAAAATAAAAATAAATGGAGACTGAAAAATAATTCTTAAAAATCATATTAAAATTTTCAAAACCAAGTTTGTTGTTTCGGTAATTATTAGTATAATCTTAATGCATTTGGACCGACTAAAGAAAAAAGGACATACTTCGCACGATGGGTGCAGCCCCTGTTGTTGATGAGAAGTTAGAAAAGTAGGATATAGATGGGAAATTAATTTGGATTTGGAAGCAACGATAAACCATTGCTTACTAAAAACGATTCTGAGCGGAATTCGGTTGATAGTGATGCTTTGTCAACAACGCATGATATATATGTCATTTTATAGTAAAATAATTGAATAGGCTTTAGATATTTTCTTTACTAATATTTGTCTAATATTGTACCGATTTTCCCGTTTTTCTACGTTTTTACCGGTTTTCCCGTTGGTTTCCCCGATTTTTCACATTTTCTGTGAAAATCGAAAGATGACGTACCTAAAGTACAATCCCAAGAAAATTTCCTTTCAGATCAGGGTTTACGTTGTGTACATCGATCTAATCTTTTTGATAGAAAGAGTGTTCATATAAAAAAAAAAGAAAATTAAAAATCTTTGTAAAACCGACGCATTCTCCGCTACACTCAGAATCTACAATTAAAATCGATTTCGTTACAAACTCGCAGCCCCGACTTGACATTATACTTCACTTCGTAGGTATACTGCAGTATATACACTCCTAATGAAAATCCGAGTAATTATTTTTAAACAACGCAACGGCAATCAAACGTTTCCTCGACTCGTCCGTAATCCCACGCTCGCGAGATAATATTATAATATACGGTTTTGTAAACACTTAAACGTCTTAAACGGTCGTTGCCGACGGAATAACAATAACAATAAAGAACCCGAAAGTTATATCCCACTAAATTTATCGCCACCTTGAAATGACGTATGCATTAAAACGTTACGAGGTTTACGCGGTTCTTATATTTAGATCGCGATTAAAACGCGAACGTCAGACACAAAAAAACCGACGGGCTGTACGGCGACGGACAGACACTATACGACTCGTGTAAGTTCTATCAAAGGTGTCTCAGAACTGGATTTTACGTCGGTGAGAAATGATGAACGGGCGACCGAGACCTTGTGTGGCGAAAAAATAAAAAAACAAAATTACGACATTCCACGTTCGAAACGAAAAACGTGTTGAGTTAAATAAACAAAATAAACGTCTCTAATAACATTTGGAGTGAAAACAAATTCACCTCGCAGGACGATTGATTGAATAAATATTTAAATTTCAAGAAAAAACCTCTCGAAAGACATAAATATTGACGAATATGTTCAACAGAAACTAAACTATGTATATTAACCTAAACTAACCTAACTATATGTGTATATAGATATTTATAGCTATAATGCAATGAAAATAATTAACTATAGTCAACAGTTGAAAGAAAAGATTTAAAAAAACTTAAGTTTGATGAATGCTCGCCGTTCTCCCTACCAGTGTAACCGAGTAAATATTTTTCCGTATTTTTACGTTAAAAAAAATAAATAGGACATTTTAAACTCTTGCCGAATAAATCGCTTTTGAATTATTTAAACCTATATTATCGTATACGTCGCTATAGATAGCCGGTGGTTTATCGATAAAACAAATATAATGCGTTTATAACCCATTTTATTGGCATGCATCGAACTGTACGCATATAAATGTATGATACGAGCAAACAAAACTAATTCGAGATTCCGTTAAAAACGATGCTGACCTACTCAACGTTTCCGACGTTAATCATTTGTTCCGTATTTAAAAAACGTAGACGAATCAAAAATCTGTGAACGTTATGGTGTATATATACATTCGGATCACTTTTAAAACTATCAAAAAGTTTTGTACACGTGAATATTGATAGCGATGTTCCCGTTTCGTAGTTGAATCGACGTCTTATTAAATTTACGTTTTTACGATTATTGGGAAATTTCGAAATTTGCCGGCCGACTCCGTACACGTCCTACATAATAGAAACACTAGGTTTTCGAATGTCAATCGCTGGCAAAAGTCTCGTAAGCATTTCTAAACAAAAATGGACGAAAAAATATTTCAACCCGACACTTACATACAATATAATATGTATACTATCGTATTTGCCGATTATTTTAAAAATCAATAACTCTGTAGTTTTCATAACTTACAGAATCGGAAATAGGCTTAAAGCCTGCTCCGCGTTATACTCTGGCGTTGACAAAAAAAAAAAAAAAAAAAACAACAAGTCGATAAAGTCAGTAGTTTTGGAGATTGCCAACGACGAACAAAATACCATTTCACACATGTATAGATAAAAATAAAATCATTGTTCGTAAAGTAATAAGTGATAAATAAATTAAATTCAATTAAACTACTCGTGAGAAATAAATTAATCGTTAATATTATATTAACGGTTGAGACAATATACTCGATCGGCCGCTTCGTGTCGACGACACGGTTGCAATTTCAATCTTGAGGTCGAATTCAAATAATCCGTTTAAAAAAAATTGAAATGTTCCGCTTGTTAATCAATTGATGTTAAGATATTGGGTATTATTCTTACCTGCCACAAGGGACGTCCACTGGGCATTTTACGCCTGCGTGTGTTTTACGAGAATATTCGAAACAAAAAACAATATTGAGATTTGAACGCGAATAATTTTATTATATCTTGTCGGTCGGACTGCTGGACGGCTTGTGTGCGAAATAGGTGGTTTACGCCGCCAATCTATATAAATCGTAAGCCGCGAGTTTTTGAGAAGGGCGCGTTCTCTCTCACTACGAATCCTTGTCCCACGCACATCACCTAGACTAAAATATATAATAATAATAGCAATAACAGTAGTACGAAAATAAATAGCATACGAATTAAATAAACACGCGTATTTTGGATTACGAGCGAAGCGATGAATCTATTGATTTTACTATGATAACCGACTCTTTTACTATACACACAATGCCCCGATCATCGACTTTAGGAATGGTTTCTGGTAGCGAATTTCGCTTGATCGGTCCATGACAGTGTAATTTTCTTGATAATTATAGAGAAATCGGGAGAGAACGTATTGGAAAACGGAAAAGTTTACGTGGTATTGAATTTTATAATTTTCGATTTTTAATTGTGTTTTTCTCTTGTGATTAGATAATAAATAATCATAGAAACCTGAAATATCGATTCAGTATTCATGTATGCCGTTTCTATACGCGGTGAAACAGGGTTCGAAATTCTGGCGATGATTTTTGAGCTATTTAATATAGGCATTTCTAAGTTGTTACGGTTTTTCTGTGGATAAAATTGTTTATGGCTAGTGAAAATGCACGGCCATTTATAACAAGGTTCGTATTAGCGTAATACGTCTTATTAGTGAACAAAAAATTAAATTGAGCGTAACGAAGTAGTACGGCAGTGTTTCAAGTTCAATTATTGATGAAAGTCTTAAAAATGTACGACATTTCAGAACAATTTATACAATTATATAATAATAACATTTAAACGAACCATTTTCAGAATGGTATTTCGTAATGATTTAATGTTGTGTACAAATGTAAATCAAATTACCCTGTGTATCCTATATCTTCTCAAACCCCGGGCATACGACAGTGTCACGCCCACTAGTAGTGTAAGCTCTTTTATTGGTTTGTTCTATCGGCTGTACGCAATATAGAAATCCCGAAATCGGCTTACAAAAACCCGTACAGATTTCTCATCATATCTGCAGAGGTTCTATGCTCACTATAGAGCTTATAACCAAAGTTAGTGCGGTTAGATTATCAGGTTAGGAAATTCTAAATTTTCGAGCACCGGATCGTTGAAAATCGCGAGGTCACATATTTATTGTACAATAACGACCGTCTATTTTTGATATATGCAAATAAATCATTGTGGACTGTGAAATCCACGACGATCGGCTGCCACCCAGAATCCGCTGGACTATTTTTACTCGAGTGTATATTTTATAATAATTATTTTAATAATATGTATTGCCTGGTGTGACGTTATCGCCCCTGTCACCCACGAAGACAGCCGTGTCACAATGACGTCGCGTATAATAAATTTGAATTGCCAAGAAACCGAACACTTTGGCGAACCCTCTGAAAAACAAAACAAAACAAAACTACCAATTAATAAAAACGTTAAAGTACAAAAGTAAACATTTCCATTAGATCGGAAGGGTTTCGTGTATTCGTTGAAAAAAAAAAAAAATAAAAAAACAAATTTCACGCGTATTTCGAATAGTATCGATATTCGAAATAATATTTAAAATATCCGATTGAACCCCTGCCCCCCCCAAAAAAAAAAAACAAAGAATCAAGGTAACGAGACTTTTGGCTTGAAATATTTTATAATAATTTATAATAATATCAAACATCAGAAAATACTTTTTTATACCTACACGTTAAAAAATAAACCACATCGTCATCGTATTATTTTATAACATAGGACATTTTGATACGGTGGTCAGTGCCAAACGGGAAAACACGAAATATTTTGTCACTATAAAAACGCTCCTCGACGAATAAATTAGCGCGTATAATCAACACGTGTTTTATTGCAGCTAAATATAAAATGTATAGGAAACCTCCCTCCTCTCGCGGTTGCGTGTCACGTATAAAATAAATTATACTCCCCTGATCATTTGTACTGCAGCAGCACGCTGAATTTTTGAAAACTTGACCTGACCCAACCTTTTTTAGATTACAAACGTAGCGAAAAATGTATTGGTTGTAATATGTGTATAATTTTTTGTTTCTTCTATCCATGTACAGCTTGTCTACCAGAATAATAACTCCGATCAAAAAATGACAAATGAGCTTTTTTATAGCATTTCGGATCTAGTTGGTGCATTAAAGAGGTAATGTATTTGGTTTTCTAAAAATTTGTTATGATAATTATAAAAAAAAAAAAAAATACAAAAATACAAACAGGAAAAACAGACAAATTTACAGCAATAAAAGTTTAATTTTTTTGATTAAATGTTTCTATCAGAAATCTGCTCCGAATTTGAAGAACAGCAGCATTACTTTCAGCAAAACATTTTGTTTTTTTTGGTTGGAGCGTAAGAATGTCGTTTTTTTTATTTTTGTGTTGCTTTTTTTTATTAATTGAGAAAGTCGGAAAAGAACGTAGAAAAAACAGAAAAGTTTACACAAATAATGATTTTTATTAATTTAGATTTTATTTTTTAATATGATTCGATTAAAAATAATCAAATTAAAAATTCTAAATTAGAACACTAATATTAGTTTTTTCTATTTGTAGTAAAATTTGTATTTTGTATCAGTCCGGTGATTTTTAGTTATTCATTGATATTTGACATTTTCGAAATTATTTGGTTTTTATTTAGATTGTATCATGTGGATACACGAGTATTTGACTAAGCAGGAACGCTTTAAAATTTAACGTTGGGTTCATTATAAGATTATAAGTTGTATTTAATGGTAAAAATATATTTGAGTGTAATGTAGTGGTATTTCTTTAGACACGTTAGATTTTCACGGAAATCGTAAATATTACGGTACTTCAAAATACGGATAACCAAATATCGCTGAGAATCGTTATCAATAGTTCAATAGATATGAATTAACTAAAATTATGTATCCTTTCTTCTCGACCTTTCACCTACAACAGTAGCAGCGTTTATTGAACGAACAAACGCTACATACCTTGGTCGGGGAAAAGCAAGTCTTACTAATTGTATTGCTTCTCCTTGGCACAAATGAAAATATACAGGTTTATGACCGTGATTAGCTTTCGGTCAGCAATTTCAATTTTAAGTAATCTCACGGTGGCCCGGTATACATAACCAGCCGGCTTGCAATCGTGTATCACCAATCCACTCCTCGACCAAGTTCGAGGAACCGGCCGGTTCGGATTCTATCGTACTAGAACAGTGTTTCCTAACTAATTCATTCTATGCCCCCCCTGGTAGGTTTTTAAAAATCTCATGTTTCCACCTATTAAAAATATAAGATATATTGTTTAAATATTACATATGGTAAATATGAACGTTTTATATTTTATTCTTAAAATTTCATCATCGCTATGTAACTCCGCACACAGTACCTAAATAACTCTCTAGGGAGAAATTTCCCCCCCCCCTCGGTTGAGAAACACTTTCCAAGAGAGTCTCTCGAGATTCGAATATTTAAAGGACCCCGAAAAACTGCCTGCACCTGGGTCTTGAATATGACCTTGCTCGGTGAAACTAACCTTACCCAACCAAAAAATCAATTGAAAAATACACCAACAAGAAATATAATGCCAATGATCCATTCACTGCGTTGTATATGTTAATAATATGTTCAAAGCTTTTTAAACACACTCTAAATAGATAACAACCTAATCAAATTTCTATAGGTAGTCCAATTTGTATACGTATGCTATTTATTATCAAAACTTAAACGCAAAGGGTAATGAATCAAAGCTTTTAGTCCTTGTCCGCAATCATTCGAGTGTACAATATATTGTTGTTTATTTACATTATTAATATACAGCATGCCCGACATAATATTTCGATCTACTCGCTAAAAAAAAAAAAAAAATTATCTTAGTTCTTTATCTTAAGTTGAATTATAAATTGTATCTAACCGTAATATATCGTAAAAATTACGCTTTCAACGTTTGCTTTCAACAATTTCGTATACGCTTTTCAAACATGATCAGATTACACGTGCACGAGGTATTTTAAAAATACGCGCGTTTCGAATGAGTCAGCATTTTCGCAAGTTCTTTTTCGAGCGTTCTGTATATAATGTAGGTTAACATTAATTATTGTTCTCGGTAAATCTGATATTTTTATAACGTCTCTTAACGTAACGGCCTTGGTTGTAAACCCAAAGATTTTTGGACCGATTCCACCGTCGTACATTTAACGTGAGACGGTTTTTACTGATATATATATATATATTAAAAATTAAAATCTTCATGACTGAGTAAATGGATTTTTTTTCTCGAAAAGAAAGTAAAACAAATTTAAATATTAACGAAAACGGAGACCGTAAATAATAACAACGAAAATTCTCGACAGTGTTTTACGATAATAATACCAACTTACTCGAGTTCCTGTGAATTGATATTAAAACAATGTTATGACGGGGAAAAACTTTATTGGTTTACGTGGGCCGGTATAAAAAGTTAAACGATCTTCATTTAACAACTTCGATTTAACCGTAAAATATGTAGTTGAAAAACATTCAAGGCCGCGCAGTCAAAATGTAGACGGTAAAAAAAAGGGATTTCAGGTTTGTGCCGTCCATCGGATATTTTACGTTAACGTTGATCATGTGGACAATTCGAGTATTAATTTTTTTTTAATTTTTTTTAATTCGTTGATCTTGGCACTTCGTAAAAGGTTTGCTTCAGTGTATAGTATACGAATTCCACAATGACGCCACTGCGGCATGCCTATGCTGTGGTTTCGGTCTACGGCCCTCTGTTTTCGCCACGTAAAATCCGAAATAATTAAATTAAACGTATTAAGCTCGTTCTAAAAAACTCACCCACACTCAGACACGCGCGCACGCAATAACTCGACTAAAACGACGATTAATAATACACAAGACAACCGCTTTATAAATATAACACTGACGTAATAGACGCGGGTTACCTAAAAATGCCTCGGAGGTTGACGCGACAAATAATGTTTTATATTTAGCGGTATAAAGATACGCCTTGAGATAACCACGGTGTTTATTACCACGGACGCGTCGTAGGAATTTGATTACCCGCCTTGATAGATTAGATATTTACCTCTCTTCGGTAACCATAATAATGTATGAAATAAACCGGACTGAAAAGGTAACCCAGACACCTAGTAGTCCATTATTTAAATTTCGAGACAACTACGGCACCATTTGACGGTGCCCTAAGGCTGTAATCGTGGTGTGTTGAGTTTCCCATTTGATGAAAAATTCAATTGAATATTGAAGATAAAATATTGGAAATACGGGTTAAAAAATAATGCATGTATTCCATACGTTTACAGAAGACTTTTGCTCTGATGAACAATTTTGTCAACAATACACTAATGCCCTCCGGGTGTACGCTGCCCGAGGAATAATGTAATATACCGTGACTAAAATATTGTCGTACCGCGGGTGATTTAAACAATTTATCGAAATTCTATCACGGGGATTCGTACAGGCAATTTAGCAACACGGACGTACGTTTGCATTCGCGATATTATCATCTGCAGCAAGATCTGGAACGATATTTTTAGTTTTACCCACCTCTTGCACACGCAATCCGAATTCAGAGTTGTATTCGACTATGGCTAAATAGTATCGATAGTTTAAGATTCGACAACGATTTTATGTATTACAACATAAAAACCCTGCAAATATCCATTAATTTTTTTTAGCATTATAAATTATCTCTTATAACTATCGAATATCCTCTATAGCTACATTAATTTCAGGGTTTTAGGTATTTTTAATAGGTAGTACCTAAATTTTTGTTTTTTCGTTATTTGATTTTACGATAATATAAGTATACTAATATATTATTCCTCAAGTTTTTCGGACCATTAATCAACCTGTAAATCCTATAATTTACGATAATGTTCCGCGTGTAGCCATTCTATGTTGCCAACAACGAATCGAGTTGTTTTTTTGTCCAATAAAAATATTTTTAGAAATTTATTTTTGTTTTTTTCTTTTAATACACATTTATATATATATTATATTTATGATAAGAAAATGTATTTATAAATCCACAACAAAGTCCCCAAAATTATTAATTTTTTATTATAAATTATGAGTTTTCTGTCTCTACTCTGTTTATTTTTACCGGTATTCGTGTGTTGAATAATTTTACCAAGATTACTGATTTTTTACAAAATTGATGATTCAAAACGTGCCTATCGCCTCTGAAAGTTTCATTTGGCAATGTTTACAAATAAGGACCAAATTTTGAACTTTTTTTGCGTGTGATATGTGTATTATTATTACTTTTATTTTAGAGCATACATTGATATTTTTATTGCATATCTACACATAAATTTAAAGGTTTTTAAGACGTATAAATATCTGCCTTAATAATCAGATTAAATTGAAAATTTTCCAAACTTGAAATGCGTATACCTGTATAAATACGCAAGTTATTATATCATACATAAAACTAGTAATATTGTAACGAAAATTGACTTTACTTGGTTACAAAATATTATCGTTATTTTAGAAGTCTATCTTGATTATATTGCCGTAGAGACATACGAAACTCTAGTGTACATTCGAATTTAATAATATTTTATTATTTTTAATCTTTCTGTTTTGTAACTACAAATTTGGAAACAGCATTTACTCCAGCAGCATTTTGTCAATGTATAGAAACGTTAACTGAAATGGAAGTGAAAATTCAAAAATATAACCGGTAAAAAAATTAAATACATGGGTAGGCTCAACAATCGTCGAAAATTAATTACGAATCAAGAATAACAAACAATATTAAAAAAAATAGCAATTCAAGTGACAGTACTTATTGACAGTATATTTTTCTGTGTTATAATAATTGAGGTATATACATGTAATAAATTAATTGACAGTATTTACTAACATAAAATAATTTCTTTTATTATTTTGGGTCTTCATTTAAGAGGTTGGAAAGAATTCCCAACGTTTTCGTTGGGTTTTTCATCATATTTAAATCCAGAAAAGTTCCACGGATCATGTATCATATCCAATGTTAGTTAAAAAAAAAAAAAATTATGCCAAGGTATTTCCGGTATAAATATTGTAATGGTCATTCTATGATGCCAACAACGAATCGAGTTTTTTTTTTACTGCATAGCTATTTATGAGGATTTTAAGAGAGACGAATATCTCACATAAAAGCCCAATAAAAATATTTTGAGAATTTTTTTTTTTTTACACATTCATAATATAAATGAGGCACCTAGAACACAAGGGTATAAATGACATTTTATTGATTTCGAGGAAATACAAGTTTTAAGTTATTCGTATTTAATTTAATCATTAGAGTATATTGTCATATGATCGCTGTTCTTGTGTTCAAATGATAAAACCAATTTTCAAACACTTGTCAGTAAAGACACATATGTGTGTTAACAGTTGTTTTGGACCCTTGCACCTATTTACTTCTAATATGTTATGATATTTTCATTTGAAGACTATTTTAATGAGCTTGTATTTGTTACTAGATCGCAGCACATGACGAATATGGTTCTTATATTTCTTTACCACACAATAAAATAGATTAGTTCAGCTTCGCTCTTAAACCATATCTATTTGTATTATTATTTTTTTTTTTCCAATGCAGATGGGTTATATCATTATTATAATAAAATAAAACAATTATAGTAACTGTACAAAGAAGAAAACTGTCCGTTAACAATTTTGTTGCCTCAGCTGAACAAAAAAAAAAAAATTGTATTAAAGTATAATAGAAGTATACAAAATATTATCATATTAGTAGAAACGTTAGTGCCAAAAACTGCAGGTGTTTTCTTAACAAACAATTTCAACGACAATAACGGCAAATAAAAAATTAATTTGTTTAGTCTATACGTGATAATATTTTGGTTTAACGGTTCATTATAGTTATCAATTATATTCTATTACGAGTACATCACTAAAATACACCGTTTTGCAAATCAAAATGTTTCAATTCATAATTCTTTACATTATTTTCATCACTATTGATCTACACTCGTGTAATTATGGTAACTATTTGATTGTATTTACTAACTTACATACGAACAACATAGGTTACAATTTACATGTTAACAGATATGAACTTAGATATTAAGAAATAACATAATTAACTATATTATTTATGAAAATTTTCGGTTTTTGCATTTTCAAAACATTAATTATTATTAAACCAAATTTGTATGCTCTTAAAGTGAACTGCAAGAAATCACTTGATTCATCTTATAAATACAATTTTATATCACTACAAAAATGATTAATAAAAAATATTTCTTTTTTATAAGTAATACGTATGATTTTATTTTTAAAAAAATTATTTTAAATTAAACCTACGCCTCCGTTACTCCTCTGGAATAATCACTAGTTTTCGTATTGTATTTATTGAAAATTAAACCTATAGTTCATAAAATACAACTGTAATAAATTATTTTCTAAGAAATTAATAAAATATTATTTAATTAGATTCAGCATGCTTAGGTAAGTTCATTGCAAATATAATATATATTCGTATACCATACAATATACAACATAACATAAAATTGTCGTTAACATTTGGTAAATTAAGTAAATTATTAATCATATAAATTTATTGTAGTAAAGAATCGATATGTTTACATTAAAACTTCCTTACGATCAATAAGTTAAATACGTACACTTGAATACCTACTGAAAAAAATCCAGCCGTTAGCCTGATAGTTTTAGTAGTTTTATAATATTTTCTATATATAAAATATAACTTCAATTTCTAATTTTTTATCCAAAATTAAAGCTATAAATATTATATTGATTTTACGTCATTGTTTATCACTTGTTTCGTGTAATCAACACAATATAAATAATAATAGTAAAATGTTAATATCGAAAATTAGCTGTCATAAATAATCAAGTTTATTGAATAAAATCGTGAAATAAATATCTCATACAAAGATAATAGATATTGTATTCCAAATTCTTTTGATTACAATATTTTAATCTATAAAAATTGGTAAATATACAGAGTATATTTTTCTTTTATTATGAACGAGCAATTTAACCGGTTAATTTTTCTTTCCAAGATGAATTTTCTATTATTTTAAATAGAAATGATACCTAATTTATTTTAAATAGATTATTATAAATAAATTTGTTATGCTAACGATTGTTTTATTTATAATGACATACGATTTTGCGATTTAGATAAGAGGCATTGGGTCATAATACTATAAGAAAAAATATTTTAGACTCTGAGTATAACGAAGAACGTATTGGTTTTACAAAGATGTTTATTTTTTTATTTTTTTTTACTGTGTACAAAAATTCTACAAGAAATCTGGCTGCGCTATTTACGTGTGGCACTATTTATAAAAGGAAAGAATTGAGCGGACTGACGTAGTTTCGAAATTATAACTTTGTGAAGCTATACAAGTGAACATTTTATCACTCCTGAGAATTAAATACGCATCATTGCAACAACAATTCAAGATAAATTATTAATACCGTTGTCAGAGAATTGCGTTATAACTATGTTTACTTTGAGTAAAATGACTGGTTTATGATAAAAAGATTATTTAAAAAGAATGTATAGTGCGTTACTTTACGGAGAGAAAATCTTCACTTATTCTTATAATAATTTAATGTTGGTTGATTATGACACATTTTTAAAACAGCGGAACTAAATACTAGTTTTCCTAGTGAGTACAATTATTTTGAATAATATAGGTATTATAATTATTAATAATTGACGTGTAGTGCAAAAGCTGTTTTTACAATATTGCGTGTAGTATTTAAATTTTAAATAATCATGAATTTTTTGTATGACATTTTGAATTAGCGTGTACAAGTGCTCTGGATTGTGCCATTTATGCAATAAATCACATGTGTATGTATATTATAATATTAATATAAGTTTTTAATAAATACGAAAGTTTAAGTACTCGGGCATTATCTCGAAAAGTATTAGAATACATACGTAAAATACATAAGAAACAAACGCAGCTCTAAAATTTTATATAACCATTATTTTTTTCGCACTGATGTTTGGAGAATTTATTATAATATAGTATATTTTTTTGGATTCTAAGTGTAGGGAATAATCTGTTTTGTCCTGTGTACGAAAATTCTACCAGAAAACTTGCTCAGATATACATGTACGGCACGTTTTCTGAAAAGGAATGTTGTCCAGATGGTACACGTGGAAGGTCTTTTTTATGATTTTCTTTTGGTTTTCATAATATCAGGAAAAACTAAGATAAAACGTAAGAAAAACAGGAAATATACGAAAATAATTCTTTTATTAATTTTTAAATTTTGTTATTTGTTGTAATTCAATTAAAAATATTCATAAACACTTGAAAATAGGAAAAAAAAAATTATATTTGCCTTTTCTAGACGCGGTCAAATTTTCAAAATATTTGAGCTATTTTTATGCTTTTGATGAAAATGTTAATATTTTTGTTGAAATGCAGTTAAAAATATTTGTATAGACTCTATGGGCCTAAAATTTAGACAGAAATCTTATATTCATCTTATATTTAAGACATTTTAATTTTGCGAGTTTTTAACAAAAATCATTTGAGTAAAACATTATGTGGAACAAATCTAGTTTATCAATTTTAAATCCCGAGCGTGGCGAGGGAGCTATTTGTTTTACTAAGATGTTTATTTTTTTTTCTCCTTCCTTCTTATAGTCTATAGACATGATTTTTCTAGTAAACTTGCTCCNTTTGTTATTTGTTGTAATTCAATTAAAAATATTCATAAACACTTGAAAATAGGAAAAAAAAACTTATATTTGCCTTTTCTAGAGCCGGTCAAAGTGAAGTACCGATATTATGCGGATATTATACTCGTGTGTTATATTAAATAACTCTATATTGTACCTCTTCAAGCATATTTATCGTGATCTAATGATTATTCATACCTGTTATCATCCTAGGATTTCCGAGTCCAAACCAGTGTTTCGAAAAAGAAATTGTTTCTATTTCTTTTTCCTTTTTTACCTAAACAAAGGAAAAACAAATACATTTGGGTGTACCTAGAGACCCAAGCTATCACTCGCACTATTTAATCGTAAAATACCCTTCGATTTGTTGTGCAAACTTTTCTACCAGCAATTAAATCGATAGCGTTTTTCCTGAAAGAAAATCTGACTATGTTGGTATTTTAGGTACGTCATTTTTTGATTTTCTCAGAAATTATAAAAAATCAGGGAAAACCATAAGAAAACCGGGAGAAACGTAGAAAAACGGGAAAATCGGTACAATATTAAACAAATATTACAAAGAAAATATATAATGCCTATTTTTCTATAATATGACATATATATTGTTGACAAAGCATCACTATCAACTGAACTGAGATCAGAATCGGTTTTTTTATTTGCAATGGTTTACCATTGCTTATAAATATACATTAAATTACCTATAACAGTGGCTGTACCGGTCTCCACTATCCTAGGACGTCTTTTTAATTTCAGTTAACTCCAACTCAACTCTAACGCAATAACCTTACATAGGTATAATTAAATCTTTCCAAAATTAATTTAATTATTCGTACGTATTCAACATAGCGTGTATCAAAAGCGGACTACGATGATGCTATAAGAGATTTTAATCAAATTTGTGTTCGCAAAGGCAAATATAAAACAAATAATGGTTATGTTGAATACATAACATTTATTTTCAATATATATAATATTGTATACTTTAACTTTTAGTACTTGTAAATTGTAAGAGTAAGTGCAGTTTTTATAATTAGTCATAATATATAGGATTTACTATAATAATGAGCTGAAGATTTACATTAAAAATAATGTGAAAGTTTCAATCGTAACGAATTTTTTTTCTCCATAGACTTTACACTGAAATATTATCTTTATTTGTATTCGAAAATTAAAACAGGTATGCATTATAAATTTATTAATAATATAATGTTTTAGAAAATATTCTAGGAAAATTAAACAAAATATTAAAATGCGATTTAGTAAAATAACGACAAAATGTATGGTGTGCAGTAAAACAAATTTTATTTATTATAGTATAAAAATAGACTTATTTAGGTAGTGAAATGTAGGATGGTCGAATTAAAGCAGACATACTTAACAGAATAACACAAGCAGAGGGGTTTTTAGGACTATCTATTGACCACTAATAGTGTTATTTTTCTGATAAGTAAAATGTTCCTAATGATGTATGAGTGAAATGAGGCTTTGTACTCTATATGTATTAATATTAAACTGCAGAAGGGAAAACTAGAAGCTGTTGAAATATAATGTTATCGAAAACTGTTTAAGATTAAATAGATTGAAAGAATAACAAAGAAAAAGTATTCAGCGAAATAAACGAAAGGCGAGAATTTTAGGATACTATACAAATCAGAAAAAATAAAATGATATAATGTCTACGAGCTACGTCACGATAGTTTGACGAAATTCGTCATAGAAGATGGCGTGGTTCATAACAGAAAATCAACTATATGTGAATGTCTATGAAATGATACACATAAATAAGGATAGTCACAAAGAATTATAGGAATTGAGTTACGAAACGTAAGCATGACGAACAAACGGATGATCAAACGGCTGATTTTACCAGTTTTGGGGTAGTTAAATTTAAAATTCTCTAAGATTTTAGAAATTTACCGTCCATATTTTATACTCTGAGCGAAGTGAAGAATGTATTAATTTTATAATGATGTTATTTCATTTTTTTATTTTCGTATACTGTGTACAATTTTTCTACCGAAAATGTTGCTTAAAATTTCGAGTATAGCTTCTTTTCTGAAGTGAAATTTTATTTAATTGTATAAAAACATAGGATCAACGAAAAAACTTAAGAAATTAAGCTTTTATTTTTTTCAATTTGGTTTTTTTTAATTTTAGTTCAATTAAAAATGTTCGTAAAGACATGAACTTTAGACAAAAACTTATATTTACTTTTTCTAAACATGGTAAAATTGTCATAACATTTGATCCATTTCTTAGATATTCGTAGATATTTTAATTTCGCGCGATTTTGACGTTATTTTTATTCGGTAGGCATTCATGGATACAACTGTTTGACCAAATAGAAAATTTAACAAGAGGTTCAGTATAGTGTAGAGGTTGCACTCAGTGGTCAACAAAAAAAGTTGGGTTTAATGTAGTATTGTTTTTTTTTTTTATATAGATTTTTATTAACAAATTTTGAGGGAAATCTTACATATTATGGTCTATCAAAACATGTGTAATCAAACGCCGATCATAATTATTTTTCGTGAGAAATCGTTGCATACAAAAAATACATTAAATTTCCCTTTATGTACTACCCATTCAAACTTTCCCCTACAACAGTGGTCCACCCCATAGTGCGAAGTATGTTCGTCTTTTATTATACGAGTACATATTTACATACAAAGCTATAGCTATAACTAAACAGGTAGGTACCTATTTTTCGAATCGCTGAGTAATATGAGACGTCTACTTGAAATATAAAGTATTAAAAAAAAAAATCGGTAAACCAACATTTCTTTATTATCAGATACGTTAATGAGGCCGACAGAATTTTGTGAGAGTCAAGAAGGCAAGTTTGCTAAAATTAAGTAACATTAAAAATTATATACTATGTTAATTCATTTGTCATTTAACACGTTTTGATGTTGCATAAAATATTTAACATGATGTGTGATAATTTCTTCTAGCAAAAAATAAACAAAATCTCCAGGGTAAGACTTTGATGTAACACTCTGCTTTCAGATCTCAAAAAAAATATTATTATATAGTGTCTCGTATATAACATTAATAAATAATAAAATTATAAAATGGTTAATACTCTTAAATAAATATATAAATAAAAAATGTATACATAAAAATAAAATTAATTAATTAATGAATACGTCGCCTGGAGTATTACGATAAAAGTATTATACGACCGTTTTCGATTTGAAAATTCATTATCAGGTTTATCACAGCTAAAATGTAAAACGTAAGACTGAATATAAGAAATTAAATAAAGGAACACTGGACGTAATAGCTTCGCAATCATTCTGAAGTTTTTCCCTAAAGATAGTTTACGGAAGTACAATTTTGCGTTTCATGAAGAACTGTTATAACAGAAAACTATTAGTCTACCCACTAGACTACCCACTTTCAACCTATTTGTTTTCATTTGTTATTATTCATTGGTGACACGGTCAAATTCGAAAAAAGAATATGGGTAGAAAATGGCACGGACAACGCTGGACGAGACAGCTAGTATAACATATTATATAAAATTATATTTTTATTTAATATTAATACCTCTCGAGGAATTTAATATTCGTATAAACATTCGCATTCAATACGTTCAAACAAATTAACGCTATAAAACAAATTGTATTTTTTCTTTAAAAGATCCAGGATTAATTCGATTTATTGAAGAGGGTAAGATCAAATATGTATCATTGGCTATTGCAGTATTGCGTGTAAATTTTATATATTATTTTAGCGTCAAATCCTCAGGAAATTTAAGTTTACAATTTTTTATACACCAATATGTTATAATATAACTACAAAAATTAAGAAATTAAAAATTATATATAACCCGTATAACATTATAATATCATACCTTTATTATAAATAATACGTATCTAACCTAACCACCAAACCCTATGTAATTTAATAATTTAATCAGTAAAATTAAGTGTAATTCTTTGATGTTGAAATCGAAATAAAATAATTGATATTTACTAATGATTATTTTTTTAGAAAATAGTAATACACTCATTAATGATGGTAAGAATAATCATAGATATTATTATACGTACAAAAAACAAAAAATTATTTTAAAATATTGGTATCTTGTTGAAATAATATTTTTATAAGTATAAGTAGACACATGATATTATTTGAAGGAAACAAATTAAACTCTAAGAAAATTAAAAAAACTATTCTATCAGAATATAGATACACATAATATTATCATAATATATATTATTATACAGTTGTAAAATTAGTTTTATTATAAAAATTAAAATTATACGTTTAGTTATAAGGTTGTGACCAATGGGTAGCCGTCTACATCCTGCCTTCTTTTTAATCCTGGACCTTGTTCGTACCTACCACATTTACTTGTTCAGCTTATTGCGTTACATATAACGGATTAAAAATATATTTTTATAAATAAATACAAACAATCACGAGCAACAGAAATACTAGGGTCGACATTTTCCCCAGCCGACTTGTCGCCGTAAATATTTTATTTTTTTTTTTTTTTTATTAATAACTGTTCTAAAATACTTATGGTTCCGAAAATTCGTGTTAAATTTTATTCTATAGAGGTATTTAAACCTCGGTATTTCTTGTGAAAACTTTGAGCATAAACATAATTACGGAGGGGGTTAAAAGTTAAAACCCCACTAAGCACATCCTTGATTCTTACAACATATATATTATACTAAAGGTGTGAACAATGATAAAAATACATCCTTCTCCAGCAACAACATCGTTAAACTCGGTGTGAAATTCAACGGACGTTTTCTCACTTCAATCTTCTCATAAAACAACTGTAAAGTTCAAGTTTGAATTAATTTTGCCTAAAACTTGGCAACCGCTATAAATTTCCAAAAATTTCGAAAAGATAAATAAATGTATACATAGGTTAATAACCCTGTATACATAACAAATACAATATAGTGGAACAGTCTCCACTTTTGGGGAAAATTCTACTAAAAATATATATGTATAAACGAATTTATTAAATAAATATAAAGTGAACTGCTCAAAAGTTGCCAATTAGACACAGTTTACTATTCAGTACAATGAGTATATAATTATATGTATTTTTTTTTTTTTACGTGTTTAAAAATTTAACACTGACTTGATTTATATCTAATATGATAACAGCTTATTTTAGTAAAATAAATAATACATTTTGTGTATTAATATAGAATATCATGAACTATATCCGGAAGGTAAGATGGCATAATACCTATACGGGACATAGATATATTATAATAATATTAAAAAAAAAATAATTTCATGCACTGATATATATTGAAATGTATTTCTATCTGAAGCTAACGTATATTCAGATAAAGAAAGTCGCAAGTCTAATAAACATATATTATAGTTAACAATGAATCTATAATATAATATAGGTACTTAAGACATACGACTTCAAACATAATATTAGTATAACTGAAATTGGATTTTAATTCGTTTTTATTCATTTTATTTAAGAATCCAATTATGTACCAATTCTCGATGGTAAGATTTTAATATAATGTATTTAATATTACTGGTATTTACTTATATACAATTAAATCTGCTATTAGCTTTCCTTTATGGCTACTCTTCCGACACTCACTTATAAATGGAATTTTCCTTTCGATATGGAAAATTAATTGTGTCATTCCTGTACACAAATCAGGTGACGTGAAAAATTATCGACCTATCTCAATACTCTCCCGTTTAGCAAAACTGTTTGAATCTCTTGTTTTCATGATTATCCAGCCATCTGTCAACTCCATACCGATAGATGAACAGTATGGCTTTAAACCGGGCCGTTCCGCTACGATGAGCTCAATTGCGTTCAATAATTATATCCTTGAGACCTTTAAAAACCACTCTCGGGTAGATACAATATTTACTGATTTATCAAAGGCCTTTGACTGTGTAAACCACTCAGCCCTTATACAAGTTCTTTACAAGTTGGGCTTTGGAGATCCCCTCCCATCATGTATCAGATCATATCTAGCAGTTTGAACACAGTGGGGTCAATAAAAACGGTCAGCAAACGGTGGCTACTACGGTACCTTCTGATGTTCCCCGTGGTGGCTATTATTATATTATATTATATTATATATATCATTATATTACTATATATAAAACCGCTATTATTTGCCTTATTCTTAAACGGCTTGAAACGAACGTTGCCCAACTGTCACTTCCTTATTTTCGCTGACCGCCTTAAACTATTCTAAAAAATTATCCCAATAAATGATTATCATTTACTGCAATCTAGTTTGGACGATGTAGTTTCCTAATTCACTGGGTCTATGCCTCAATATGGAAAAGTGTCGGACTATGTCGTTTGCTACATGTCGATTGATTATTTCTTTCCAATACAAAATCTATGACTCTACTCTTGTATCGGTAAAGAGTGTGAAAGACCTGGGATTTATTTACACTCCTACATTTGACTTTCACCCACACATTGAATCATCTTCTTGCAGGGCTCTCAAAGTACTTGGATTTGTCAAGCGAATAGCCTCTGAATTTAAGCTTGAGTATTCTTTAAAATCTCTTTATTTTACCTTAGTTCGATCTATTATTGAATATTTATCCGTGTTCTGAGATCCTCACACAGCGTCAAGCTACCTACAACTAGAGCGCGTCCAGAGACGCTTTTTATCATTCACTTCCTATGTTCTGAAAATTGATCACACCCCGCATGTTTCCCTGTTCTAGTCGTACTCAAACTCACATCACTGGCTAATAGAAGAGCAGCTGCAAATTTATTATTTCTACATAAACTCTTACGCGGTTAAATATATGCTCCCACTCTCCTTTCCAGTATCAACTTCAAAATGCCACGGCGTTCCCGTCGCAACAACCCTAACTATGGTATTATGCGCATGGCTAATGAACACCCATCCTATTGACCATAATCACTTTGTATTGTTTTTTCATTATTTTTCTGTTAATTAAAAATTATATTTATATGTAATATGTAATATGTGGGAATGTCCGTAATGTTTTGAATAAATAAATATGTATTGCACATTTGTAAAATGTATATTTAGGTTTTTCTTGAGTATAATTCACAACGAGTTTTGTCTTTTCGTTTTAAATGCTTTCAAATTTAAACGTATCGTTCAAACGCACGAGTAATTTTTTTTTAATTTTTTTTTTACTTTTAGAAAATGTTAATATTCGTCTCCTCGCAGGTAATATAATACATGTATACGTGTAATTCATCATACGTTGTACAATATATAGTTACACAATCATCGGAATTTTTTTTTTTTTTCCAGAAAAAAATAATAATCTACTGCTTCTTGAGGGTAAGGTCATATATAATATTACACGCATTACCGATAAAGTTTAAATCAGGTGTCCTCAACCCACGGCCTGTTTTGTCTTTTTTCGAAGCCCGTGAGCACATTTTAAGCATAGCATCTATTCATTCTATTTTGATTAAATTAAAACGGCTATCAGACAATAACAATTCTCTATCATCTCTATCAAAAACGTTGGTCGCCATATTTATAGTCAACACAATAAGATAAATTTACATTAGATGAACGTGTGATCCGGGTATAATCTGTCTATTTCATAGAGAGTTGTCTGTTGACGGTTAATTAATACTTAATAAGTAGTCAGTTTTCGATTTGTGTCACATTTAAAATTTCACGAATTCTCGACATAATATCAATTATTTCAGTTTGTAAAAAACTAAAAATCTCATATATCAATCTCACTAAAAAATAAATAACATGAATTTTAAAATTTACTGTACCTATGTTGTAATAATAAAATAATTAATAAATAATTTGCAATATAAAATGTATTTTTTTGTTTCTTTATATATATACTGTTTTAATAGGCATTAATAGGTTGAAGACCCTTGACTTAAATTATACTATATTATATAATATAATGATGCGTTTCTAAATGTTCGATACTTGTAAGTACAGTATTGATTTTCAACATTTCGTCAGATTGCCTGTTTATTACGTATTTAATAAACAAAAATAAAATATATTTTTATATTTTATATTATATTTTTTTTTAGAACATGGTAACCGACTTGCTCCTGACGGTAAGTCTAATAAAATAAAATATATTTTTAATAACCTAAACGCGTACATTTTTAATCATTTTGGTACCTATGCTGTTTGTGAATTTCAGTAAATCTAATTTTCGGATTGCAATTTGAAAATCGTTAGAATAAAAATTTATTGTATAATTAATTAATTACTATATTAAATTAATATAAACTATTCTATATAGTTTCACATCTATTATAATGATTTTAAAACCTTTAAAATAACTAATTTATAATAGTTAACATTAAAATGTAGGTTTTGATTTTTAGATTCTGAGTATAGCGAAGAATGTATGATTTTACTAAGATGTTTATTTTTTTTTTTTTTTAATTTTTAATGCTATTTACAATAATTTTATCAGAAATTTTGCTCCGACGGATATGAATATACAATGCAGACCCTTTTCTAAAAAGGAAATTTTCTTAAAGTGGTGAAAATTAGAGAAATTGAGAGAAAAATTGGAAAAAAACACGAAAAAAATGCTTTTGTTATTTGTTGAATTTCATTTTCGTAAGTACTTAAAATTTAGACAGAAAATATATAATTGCCTTTTATAGACATAATAAAATTGTCAAAACATTTGAGCTATTTTTAATTTTTTATACAAATTTTAATATTTATATTGAAATTCAGTTAAAAATGTTCGTATCGATTTAATGGACTTAAAATTTGGACAAAAACTTATATTAGCCTTTTCTAGACGCGGTAAAATTTTCAAAAACTGTTAACCAATTTTGAGCTATTTATAGACATTTTAATTTTGCAATTTTTATACGTATTTTTTATTCGGTAGGTACTGTGTGATAAAATTGTTGGACTAAACAAAAATGCGTGAAAATTTAAAAGGAGATTCATTAAAAGTCTTATTTTGTGGTAAAAAAAAAAAATTAAGTTTAATGTAGTATTTTTTTTTTGTAAAGTAATTTTAATATCAAATTTTAACGAAAATCTTTCGAGTAAAAAATTATGTGAACAAATCTAATTTTTCAATTTTTTTTTTTTTTAATATACGTACTCATATATTGCCAATTTATGAACGATAGTTAAGTAAGAATTGAATAGACTGACATAGTTTCAAAATCATAGCCTTGTGAAGTTCTGATATTATGTGGTTATTATATGTTATGTTAAATAACTATTTTACTATCAAAACTTATTATGTGTCATATAGTATATACATACATACATACCTTTGGTGATTCTAAAAATCGCGAGTTCAAACCCGAGTTTCGAAACAAATTTTAGATTCTGAATGGAGCGAAGAAGCCTCTGGTTTTACAAAGATGTTTATTTGTATTTTTTTTTCTGTAGACAACTTTTCTATCAGAGCTCTTGCACTGGTTTTTAAGTATAGCACCTTTTCTAAAAGGAAATCGGTGTAGGGAGGTACATTAAGGAGGTCATTTTTTTGTTTTTCTCATTAGATTTCCCAATAAATGGGAAAACCGTAGGGAGAACGGAAAAATAGGTAAAAACATTTTTAAAGAAAATACATATTGCCTATGTGATTATTTTACCATAATATATGATATATATATTGTTGACAAAGTAACTACACTATCAACTGGATTCCGCTCAGAATTGTTTTTCCGTTAGCAAAGGCTAATCGTTACGAACAGATGTATATATATATATATTAAATTACCTATAACAATGGCTGCACTCGTCCCCATTATTCTAGTACGTCTCATTCAAACAAATATATATAATTATATCAAACTAAAATAAACTAATAAATAATAATCGAAAATTGTATGCATTTATACAACATGTTCGTTTTAATTTAATTTTTTTTTTTTCATTTCGAGATAGAAACGCCTGTTCCAATTGAAGGTATAGGTATATTAATTTATATAATCAGTTCATATTACATAATTATCATATGATAAATTATCGTTATTATAGTATTTAGTTATGGTAATTTCTGAAAAATAAAAACTTTATAAGGAAAATTGAAAAAAAAATTATAGAATAATAAATGTATAGTACTCGCGTGAGATTAGGTAATAGCGAGGTTTTTTTTTTATAACACTCACTTTCCCTCAAAAAAAAAAATAATAATATCTAATATAATTTTACATTTTATAATTAACAGTTTAATAAAATACCTTTATTGTGTTTATTGTTCATTATTAGGTCCTTATGAGGATAAAAATATAAATAAAGTTGTTAAAGGTAAGTACCTACCTAAATCCTTATCAGGGAAATAAGATTAATGAAGTTTTTGATAGTTAGTAATTTATCTTTTACACTCTATACCTATATATAACAATATTTGTATGGTATTAATTTGGAAGAAGACTTTTCCAACTTAAGATGCTAAAGTGCTTCATATTTTTAAATTGTAATAATGTAGTTAAAGTGTTTAAATTCTTTCAAGTATGTACGTCATTGCGTAAAAATAATAGCGGAAATAGGTATAGGTACTTTTTGTTACTACAAATAGTATAGGTAGATAAAACATATTTTATTTATATTGTTGAACTTAAACTCATTTTTATCGACTTTGATACTTATCAAAAGTATATAATTTTAGTTCAAAAAGAGAAAACCGTTTTTAATTTTGTTTTTATAGATTGTGTGGGTAAGTGCAAATTATATATTATATTATTATATATAGAATTTACAATATTAGTATACTTCAACAATTGTTATAAAACAGCAGATTTTATGTTTATAATCATATAAAATCAATGCGGCACGAAAAGTCATAAGGATCTTGTGTGGTTAGATTTAATATGTATATTTATTATCGGCAATGTTTACAATTAAGCAATTTTGTCGGAAATTCTTAATGCGGTAAGAAAATTATATCATTGCCTAATAAAATATGTTGTCATTATATATTATTATGGTTGTCCTTATTTTGTAGATACAGGAAAAAAAATAGATAATTTTGATCGAGTTCACATTTTGTTTCTCAATATAAAAGAGTTGTTTTGTTGAAATTTGGTGATAAAAATTCACCTCCTTCACGTGCTGCAAAGCGTAGAAAAAATTACCAAAATTGAACAGTTGGAAAGTTATAGTATTTACACAAAAATATACTTTACATAAAGTATAAAAGATATAATTATCTAGTTAACATTTCTGAACAAAGATTCTCGAAAAATTCAAACTAAATGTATCTTAAAATTATATTAAAAAAAGACGGACTTAAATAATGTGGGAGAGGGGGTCTTAGAAGTAAGTTTTCATTAGATTTTCGTTTACAAATAGTGATGGATGAAATCGATTAATATTGATTAACGATTTTTAATCGATAATCTAAAAAATTAATCGATGTTTAAATAGATAATTTTATCCAACGATTGTTTTGAAAACTATAGAATGAATTAGTCGATAGTTTTCATTTAGTGGTAGTACCGACTAGTGGATTATTGATAATTTAAAGTACAACCCAGTATGTTTTCGACTAAATAGATATTATCAACAGACAGAACTTCTCGATAGTCCGATAGTTTCGATAGCCGATGCTTTTTGGAAACAATCGAGTAAATTGATAGTTTGAAACTATCGAGTGGTTCGATTGTTTTCACTCAGTATTGTCCATCACTAGCTCCAATGCTCCATAAACTATGATCAGTTAATCATCCAAACTAATCGTCGTGCAGCTATGCTGGTGCCAGGTACAAATACGCCGCGTTACCCAAAAATATAATTATCACTAATAATTTATTACGTAAAAAATACATGTATATAGTTAAACAATGTTTTGATATTGTTATTTTTCGACCTATAAATACATTTTTCCTTTATCATTATGATTTAAACCAATGGTCTTTTTGGGCTCAAGCCTTATTAATTTAAGCACCCTATTTATGTTCATGGCTGGCTCTAACATTCTTAAGCCAAAGATTATTTCACTAAATTAATAACATTTATTACGTTATTATGTGGAGGCATACCGTTTTGAATTAAAAGTAGAAGAACGATGCGTGATACCATTGCATAATAAACTACGGACATGTTACTAGGCAATGATATCATTTCCCATCTCAACCTTCCCTATTACCGTAGACGTGACTACAGTGGTAGCAGCATAATAATATACTCATTGCGTTTCATAAGAGCGCCGGTATACATGTTGACTGTCGACGAAAAATTATAAAAAAACATGTAAATATATGTATCACATTGTATCTACCCTTTAGCCATGATTAAAATATCACCACTAAAAAATGCCAAGTGGAAGGCGGTCCGACCTTTGGCCTTCTTCAGTCACACCACTAACAATAACAAATATATCCGATTAGAGGGTAAATCAACTATTTGGAGGGATCACGATTTTAGAGTGAGATTCAGACTATCAAAAGAGGTATTTCTTTAAGTTGTTTTGAATATAGGTACCTGCAAGTTCGGTCATTCGTTAATTTTCGTATATTTATGATGGTAAAATAATTGCCACAGTTACGATACCTAAAACTAAGCTGAAGTACTATGAAAAAAATACAAATTAGTCACATCATAAATGCTGCTAGAAATTTGTTTGTCTTCGGTTATATTATCACTTGATGTCCCGCGCTCGGCATTTCCCGTGCCAATTTTTTATTCTTTTTACCTTTATTCCCGTTTTGCTTTGCCGTATCAGTATATTGAGGGAAAACAAAAAGGTGGAAAGTGGGTAAGTGATGAACCAAATGTTTTCTAGTGCGTCATACATTTGTTCATGTGTGTTACCATAGATACCCACACATTACATAGATTAAAATATATTGTATCCACTATAATAACGCTAAAATTATGAGAACATATAGTAGTAGTAACTATAGTAGTAGTAGTAGTTAACACTTGTTACTGTATCAAAAAGTACAAAGATCCAAAGATGACGTTTTACACGGTTTCATTTTTCACTTATCCACCCAGTACAGCGTATAGTTTTATGTTTTTTTTCGTCCATGTTATCAAACTGGCTTATCCTATTTCAAGCCAATAATAGACCGGCAGAGAGTCTGATAGACTCTTAATTTTAAGTTTTAGCAGTTATAGCATTTTTATTTCTGTTAACTATTTATTTTTTGTTTTAATTTGTTTTTCATTTCATCCGTGTGACTAAAAACACCCATAATACATCAAAAATTATTTAATTTCCATACTAAAAATACCTAAGGGTTATTCACCCCCTTCTAAATCATTAATTGAGATGAAAACTATCCCATATTTTAAGTTGGACCACATCACACACGCATATATCTTATCAAAATCGGTTGAGTAGTTTTAGAGTGAAACGTACATAAACTCGTGATTTTTATATATGATATACTACGCAGTTGTTGCGCAGTCTGGACACGCCTATGCTTATTACTTTTAAATTCTAATTTTGAAATGTTTTTTTATATATTTATGCTAACAGATTCATTGACGTTGAATGGATTCAAATGTAAATTTGCATACTAGTAATATTATTATTTTGTAATTTCAATACAGTATTGTAGCTACCAGACTACCTATTGGTTTTACTAATATTCACTGTCTTTTTTTTTTGTTCATGGAAAAGTTGCAAAACGTTTATGCACAGTAGTAAATAATTAAAAAAAAAAAAAAAAATTAATCATTTTAGATTGTATCGAGTTTTTTTTTATTTTTCTAGAGGCATAATAATTGAAATAATTCTAACAAAATATTTTGTTTTTTATCCAGATAATTCTGTTATTTATGCAGTCGTTAATGTATTCTTTATAAAAGGTGAGTGTATAATAGTGTATAATAATATAAGATATACGGATATATTGTACCTTTAAGAATACTACATTTATTTTAAGACCGTTTTATGGTGATATTATAAGTAAAATTAAAATTAAAATAAAAGTTTTACAAAAATATCGATATCGTGGACTCATTACACGTTTTCAAAATTCAACGATATTTTAGAAATAGCGTCATGTACCAACATTATTAAATCACTATAATTCGATCTAAAAAGATCTTAAAAAGTTTCACATGACTAATAGAACAAAATATTATGTAGTGTTATTATTATAAATACAATATCATACGTGCATAATCATTCGGACTTATTTAGAATTTAGGTGCCTACTTAAATAGTAACACGGTTTCACTGACTCGTCACAATGCTATAGCCAAAGATTCTATACGTTTGATAGAATCCATTATTTACCTTGATTTCTGAATAAGTAGACAGTTAAATCACTTTGATATAAAAAAATGAATAACAATTTTTGGCAAAAGTACCGAAGTACTATCTAAAGTATTAGGTTTACATATTTTTATTTAAATGTAATTGATTAGTTGTGTAGATATATCACTAATGGTGTTTGATCAAATATGATATTTTATAGATATTGGTTCGTTTGTTAATGAACGTAAGATAATTATTTTACTTATTAAATAATAGGCATACAACAAAACATGTTTCATGGTTTTATGTAAACGATTATTCCGCTCCATTTTAAATTCTGAGAGTAGTGTGAAAGCTATTCGTTTTACTAAAAGCTGTGGGAAAATGATTGCTTGCTTGGAAAACAATTTTTCGGTTTGTAAAAATGTTCTAAATTCTCTAAACCGAACCTTAAAAATGTACACTTAAAGAATTTTATGTTATTGGAACTATTTGTATTAACTTAGAACAGTTTTTCTAAATAAGAAAGAAAAAAAAAGGCCTTCACTTGTTCAATAATGCCTTGAGCTCTGATTTGGGGCCCTTAAATACCATGGGCCCGTGGCTTATTGCCCGTTCTGCTACCCTATCGCTACGCACTGTGTTACATCGGTTTTTATTTTGGTTGATATTTTCTGGAATATCTTGGCTACAATAAGAAAAACAAACACGACTTTTATATATCTATAGGTCTACACTGATCTCAGAATACGTTTTTGATTGCATTTATATAATCAGTATATAAAGTATATCAGTGATTTCAGTATATAAACTAATACGGATACAAGTTACCAATTCTTATATCTTGTATACACCTTCTAAACTACCCGTCTACAACAGTGGCCTAATACCCACGGTGTGTGAGTTTATCTTGTTTTTAAAATCAATCCATACGTATTTAAAACAATTTGAACTAAAAAAACTTACAAAGAAAACCGCCTCATTAAGCTAATTTTTTTTTAACTACTAAGCAAAACTCATAATGAACGTCGCATAAAATGTCCAAACATTTCTACTAGGCTAACTCAATTTCATCCACCGAATAAGCCGAATTAAAACCGAAAACAAAATGTCAAATGTCTATAATTAGTTTGAAGTCACCCGAATATTTCTAATAAATGTGAAAATTTCAAGTCCCTACGATTATTTTTAACCGTATCACAACAACAAAAAAAAAAAAAAAATTCGAAATTATTAAAACCATTACTGCCGTAAACTTTCCCACGTTTTCTACGTGTTTTTCGCAGTTTCCCAATGATTAAGAAAACTCAAAAGAAAATCAAAATATATCAAATATGAAATGATATTAATACACCTTATACAAATTAAAATTAACTTATTATCTTATATTTCATATGTTTATAGATATGGCGTCAAAGTATTTCTTCTATATCAGAGACCATGCTAATTATACCGGTACGTTGATATCATTACATTATATGATATCGTTGACGAAAAACACCTCATAAATTGCAAAATCAGTAATAATAAATAATAAATCGGCGACAAAGTCCCCAAAATATTAATTCTCTATGATAAATTATAAGTTTTCTGTCTCTATTCGCTTTATGTTTACCGGTATTCGTGTGCTGAATTATTTTACCACGTTGGTCAATAAATACTGATTGGTGATATAAAACGTATCCATCCTTTTTGTTAAAATGTTTCATTTTCATTTAAATAAGAGTAAAGACCAACTTTCGAACTTTTTTTGCTATTATATGGGCATACTATATATGACCCTATTATTAGAGCTTGGATTTATATGCATTTGATTTATTAAAAATATACAAAACTATACCAATAAAAATATTATTAATTGAAAAAAAAAATATGTTTACAAAATCTAAAAAAAAAATAGATTCTAAATTGTTCTACAATTATTAACGCTATTATATACCACAATACATTTGATCATTATGCCATGAGGTTTTTTAATTTTCAAAAATGAAAGATCTTCAGATGTTCTTTTATATTTACTAAAACTCTGTTTAACATCAAATGACATAATTTTTGCGTATTTAAACTGTGTTACTTCCCCAGGAATTAGATTTGGGAAATCTTCATTCAGATTATTTCCAATTAAAATATTACATATTATAAACATGGATTTTAATTCTGTATTTTTTAATTTTTCGTTGGCTTTTTCAGCAATTTTATTGTTTCTTTGTTTTATCAAAGTTTGAATTTGGCGTTTCTAACTGTACAAAACTGTCAAACACGTAATAACTTTTAGACACATGCTTACTTACTTCTTATCCAGTATATCGATGAGATAAGATAAATTAAATTGCAGTTTGGGTTTTTTTGTATAGCGATGAAATAAACAATATTAAATGTTTACCATAAAACATGCATTTTTCGCATATTTGTAATCGAAATATACAATTATATTCATTATATTCAATGTATGCAAAATTAATATGTTTTTTATTTAAAATATTCATTTTATTCAAAATATTTAATTAAAACTATGCAAAAAAAAAAACACCACCATTTACTTCAACATGAGCTAATTCGTGGACAGAACTGACAAAAACAGTAATCAAAAGTTGCAAAAAAACATATCAATGCATATAAAACCTAGCCCTAATTATTATTACTATTTTTTTTTTTTTTTTTAATGCATACTTTGATGTTTTTAGTGCATATCTGCAATCTGCACATGAATCTAAAGGTTTCTAAGACGATTAAAAATATCTGGCCTACTGACCAGCTGTTAACGAACATTTTCCAAACTTGTGATGTGTATACCTGTATAAATACACATTACACAAGTTATAATTTCATAAATAAAACTAGTAATATTGTAACGAAAATTCACTTCACCTGGTTACAAATTGTTACTGTTATTTTAGAAAGCTATCATGGTTATATTATAGTAGACATACAGATTATTTTCATATTATCAATAAAATTCGTGGGCCGTGGAGATGTACGAAACTATAGTGTACGTTTGAATTAAATAATATTTTATTAATTTTTGTTGTTTCTTTTTTTTTTTATGTGATTACAGACTTGGAATCAGCATTTACTCCAGCAGCGTTTTGTCAAGATAAAAAAACGTTAAATGTAATAGAAGTAAAAGTTCAAAATTCGTTAGACAGAAATATAACCAAAAAAGATGTTAAATACATGAGTAGGCTCGGTAGTCGTCGACTATTATCTACGAATCATAAGTACTAAAGAAAAAAAACAGCAATTCACGTATAGACAGTTTATTTTGCTGTGTTATAATAATTATACATGAAATAAATAAATATACGATTGACTGCATTTTTTTTTATTTCTGGTCGTGCTGTTTAGTTAGGACGTTGAAAGGTTCTAAACTGTCTCATCCGGTTTCTCCTCATCTGGAAATCCACAAAAGTTCCTCGGTGTGTGTACCATAACCAATCCTAAATAAAAAAAAAAAAATTATGCTAATGTATAGCCGGTATAGGTATTATGTAAATGTAAGTAATATGGTACAGTATACAACAAAGGGCGTCCATAGGTAAAACTTCAGAAAACGACAATTTCCGTTAGGAATTCCATTAAAAATTATTTTAATCCGTGATCCATCAGAGTATATTATAAATTCGCCTGTCACAATGAAAAAAGTCGGATCTCACTTTATCCAACTGCTTATCTTATCACATTCGATGAGTAGTAACACGAACTATTTCGTAGGGGATACCGACAAACGACACTACCTTGAATAAACGATCTTGGAGATACGAATTAAATCGAGATACAGCCAGCCATGTAGCGGCAGCCGATAAAATATATAGCTATTAATATATTATATTGTAGAACAAATATTTAATCTACGTAACGGTTTTATCACAAAATGAAATATGAACAGAAATTCGTTTTATAACGGTTTTTATTTATTTTAAATTTAAATTTACATGCTTATGTTTTTTTTAATATGTAATTAAACCAAAACCAATTTTATCAGTAATCTGAAGATAGGAACATACCGTAACTAAGTAGTTACGAAAATATAACTTACAAATACACTCTAAGTCTAGTTTTCCCAAACAATTTTTTATACAAAATTAAAGCTACTTAAGTAATTTCGTATTCCGAAGAATATAATGTTCATCGTGTTTCTATATTTACAGTATGGTTTACAGCATTTTTTTTTTTTTTTTCTGTAGTTCTATATTAAAAGTTTGTTTTACAGTTCTGCATTAAAAGTCTAAAGGGACATTAGTTCTCTCCCTTTATTCATTCGATTAAAATATTATCTTTTAGTAATAATATATATATTTTGTATACATCAATAGCGTGTTTATGATTAAAAAACAAAAACCTCAAATTTAATGGTATAAAAAATATAGATAGATACATCGAATTGTATGCGTCCCTGTGGTTGATTTTGAAAGACTTAGCCCCCTCCCAATATTTACGCTTACGATAATATAACTAATTTGTTTTAAGTATACAAATAAATAATACGGTAGCCCGAAAAACACTTACCTCTCCTATCACAATGTGTTCTGATGTAATTGTAATAATCTTCAATAACATCTACGAATAAAATGAATAATACGTACGTTATTGTGTTATTTTCGATATCGCTGCAGTTGAAATAATGGTCCCCAGATGTTGAATTAAATTATTTTGACAATATCGTAGAAAAAACAATATTATATCTAGTTTTTACACTCAATAATAAATAAACTAGACAGCATTTTATTTTCTGGTCCGTATATTTTGTTTTTCAAGACCTGTGAACTTACCACGTTCTAGGAATAATCATAAAGTCATGAGTTCATTATACGAACAGCACACTTGCTATTTTACCAAAGACTATCTAAACGTATATAATATATTATAGTATATATTCCTTGGATCAGTAAAGCAGTGATAATTCGTGTTCGTCAATACAAAATTAAATTATTTAAAATTAATATATTAGTAGTTCTGTTTGATTTAACTCAACACAGTTTTATGCACAATGTTTTTGGTCCTGTCTTCTTTTGTGGAAAACGAGAACAATTCCTTTGGCCTATAGATACCACAGTAGGGGCGCATACAAGGGGGGCAATAGGAACGATCGCCCCTTTGAGCATTATTGAATTTGTTTTATGTATAGATACTTAATTATTTTATAATTATTAATCGAAAATTTAAAAAAAAATAATTTTTTTGTGCGGAAATGGTTATCAAAAATTTGTTAAGAGATTGATATAAGAGATAAGAGATATTGTAGTTATTATAAACATACCTACTCTTGGGTATAAATAGAGAATGAACTCTAATGCAAAATACGTTTTTGTATTTTAGATTTTTTAGATTCTGAGTGGAACAAAGAAACTTATGGTTTTAAAAATATGTTTTTTTTTTTCTTATTTGTTAACAACTTTTTCTACCAGGAGACTTGCTCGAATTTCTACGTGTAGCATATTTTCTGAAAGGAAATCGGTGTGGGGAGGTAATTAAAGCAAGTCGTTTTTCGATTTTCTTAGGAGTTTTCCCAAGAAATGTGAAAAACCGGGATAAAACATGAGAAAACCGGGAAAAACGTAGAAAAATTGAGAAAATCGGTTCAACATTAAACAAATATTATTCAAGAAAATATCTAAAGCCCATTTAATTATTTTACTATAAACTGACATATATATTGTTAAAAAAGCATCATTATCAACTGAATTCCGCTCAGAATCGTTTTTTCGTAAGCAATGGTTTATCGCTGCTTACAGGTATACATTAAATTATCTATAACAATGACTGTCCCGTCCCCATTATCCTAGGACGTCTTATTGTTTTACATAATTATATTGTGATTTTCTATACGACTATTGTCTGTACTCTGCAACCATGGTCCGTGTTATTAACTTATTTTGTTTTCGGGGAATGATTCGATAGATCCGTGATAACTATATCATAACACAAATTGATAAGCTTTAATGGAAAGACGGCCATGGTAATACTCATACGGCGCTGCAGGTCTGCAGTAATTTTCGACGTTTGTGCTAACCGTGTTCATTCATACTTAATACTGAAATTCATAATACACTTATATACGAAATAATGGCTATACATAATTGCTGATAATGGTATAAGGAAAAAAAAGCGTCTGGCCAAAAATCACATGAGGATAAAAAAGCCCTGACGAAGCAAAAACAAATTCATATAATATTTACCTACTACAAAAACTACAATCAGATATCCTTACAACAACTGATATGGATAAATTGACTACAAATAATATACTAAAATTATTAATTAAAAAGCCCGAGTCTTAATATACAATATAACATATATTTGATACTTAAACTTACGGTATATTATTTTATACTATTCTATATAGGGTTTTTAAAACATTAAAATAGAAAAATAAGATAAATAGATTTCCAACAAAAGTATACAATAAGCAATAATATACTTCAAACATGTTTTAAAATAATAACCTAAATATTTTTGCAGTTTTTTATTTTTTTAAATGTATAATATTAATTTTTACAATGGGACTTTTTCCCAAACCTCCTTTTCAATACTTATAAAAACATTTTCTTAAGATGCCAATAACTGTATTTTATCCCTGGGACTTATTTTACGTACGTCGAGTCTTTTTTTTCCATGTGTGGTTTTTGGTCAAGGGCTTTTTTTATCGGGGCTTTATTATCCTTACTTCCTAATAATAATTACCAAAGCTGATAGAAATCAATTAATCAAATTTTAGGCAAGAATCAGAAGGATCAGAATTTGTTGAACTCCCGATCTATTAACAATCTGTAATACTGTAATACGTATCAGTAATACGTTCATAGATATATACGTTTTAACTAATAATTTATAAGTATGAATACATTTTGAATTTCACTCCCCCTCCCCTTTGAATATGAGCTGAATACGCCCCTGTAGTGTAGAAACGGAAAAAAGGTATATAGAAAAAGAATCTTGAAAATCGATCCAGTTGTTTTAAAGTTTTTAATATGACTTAACCATACTGATACTATAAATCATTTAATGGTTTATTAAAAAACTAGTATATTTCCTTCCTCAAAATTCTAGTTATCTCCATACCAAATTTCATCAAAATCAGTTCAGCAGTTTAGCCGCTGACAACAGGTTTTTCCGAATTTCTTATTACAGTCAAATTTCCGAAGAATCACTGATTTTTTTTCAAACATAACCTATGCAAAAAAATTTGTGTTGAATCACACATACGTATTATAAAATATTATTTTGTTAGGAATTCAGAAAAAAAAGCAAGTGAAAAAATTTTTTTTTTTTAACTGCAGACCACGTTTATCCTAGAAAACTTGTTCAGATGTATAAGTGTAGCACCTTTTTTGAAATTCAATTTTATCTACTTGGGAAATAAATAGGTCACTTTTTTAACTTTCGAAAAGGTTTTTAAAATAAAAATGATTAACCGGGAAAAAAAATACAATTTTTTCACGATTTCGTTATTTTAAATAAGTACTCACCACGTTTTCTAGCACAAATATAGCTTCAAATGAAAAACGACATGAAACCTTTTTTGTTGAATTATCAATCTTGTTTTATTAATGCAATTCTTTTTTTTTTTTTTTTTGATTTACAAATTAATTTTCACAATAATCAGGAAAAAACGTACAATTTCACGATATCATTATTTTATATTAATACGGAAAACGTTTATTATTAGGAAAAGTGCTTTAATCGAAAAACGACAAAAAACCTTTTTTTGTTTCATAGCACATCTTATAGCGTAAGTCTTTTTTTAATTTCATAATGATTCGGAAAAACCGGAAGAAGTCGAAGTTATTGTGATTCAGTTAAAAATATTTGTAGTGACTTGAAAAATGGACGGAATGCTCAAATTTACTAATCTAATTTAAACGAAAATCGCAAAAAAAATTACAGCCCTTCAAATTATGCAATACCGAACTGTTCTCGGAATCGTCTTTCGTCAGCAATGGTTTATCGTTGCTTACAGATATAAATAAAACAACCTTTTGTATTCTACCTTCCCATTTTCTCACCTACAACAGTGACCACTCTCGTCCCCAATATAACTCTTTTTTTACTTGCTTTTTTTTCCATTGCTTTTTTTTCACTTGCTTTGTTTTCCTAAACTCATTTTGTTACTGTCCTTATTTCTTTACCGATTTTTTTTTTTCGGGAAAGGGAAGTTCAAAAGCACTACCCATTTTTGATTTTCAATTGGCAACTTACATTAAAAATTCCATAAATAGATCAATTTTAGTTAAAATATACTTTGGTGTTGAAAATTTTATTTTTGTCAATCAGTTTTGTATCACAAAAGAATAAATAAATATGTGTTAAATAATGAACAGTAAAAATGCAATAAATTACCTAGTTCAGTTACATAAGACTCTTTAGCTGTAATATGTTTGTAAAAAAATAATGTATGGCGTAAAAAAATAATTACTTTAAAAACATCTCAAACCAGTCTTATAAAAACAAATAAAGTATACATTGTTTAGAAATTACACTTTGCTGCAATATTGTTTAAGTGAATTTTTTTATAGAGGTAATTTTAGATTCTGAGTAGATCGAAGATGCTTATAGTTTTACAAATATGTATATTTTTTTTTTTTTTATCTGTTAACAATATTTCTACCAGACTACTTACTCGGATTTCAACGTTAAGCACATTTTCTAAAGATGAATCAGCGTGGGGAGGTACCTTTAAGAGATAATTTTTCGATATTCGCAAGAATTTTCTAATGTAATGCGAAAACCCGAAAAAATTTACAAAATGTAATACATATAATATGATGATTTTTTTTTTTGTAAACAACTTTTTTACCAGCAATTTTGTTCCAATTTTTAACGATAGCAATATTTCTGAAAGGGAATTTCACCGGGGAGGTACTTTAAATAGGACGTTTTTCCATTTTCTCCCGACTCTTCTCAGCAAATGTGAAAAAAATAGGAAAACTAGGAAAATCGGTACAACATTAAACAAAAATTATTAAAAAAAAATATATAAAGCTTATTTAATTATTTTACTATAAAATGACGTATATATTGTTGACCAAGCATCACTATCAACTGAACTCCGCTCAGAATCGTTTTTTCGTAAACAATGGTTTATGTCGTTGCTAACATGTATACATTAAATTGCCTATAACACTGGCTGCACCCGTCCCCATTATCCTAGGACGTCTTCGTAGAAATATATATTTTCCTTAATAACAGATAAATGCAAATTAAATAAAAAAACCGATTTTACGACGACCGCGTATTAATGTACAGTGAATTCCACTCAATGTGATCACTGGTTTATAGAATCAACCGTTTATTCGAATCAAAAATGGAAATCCCAAACCTGCAAAACGTATGTTATTAATGTTAAATTAGCCATTTATTTAGAATCGCCAAGTACCGGATAATTAAATCACTTTTACGTACATCTTATCGTTTTTATGGTATAGTATATTTTTATTATAGTTATATGTTTTTTTATTGTATGTTCCAAAAGTTACAGGTCCAATGTGCACACATTATTATATATTTTAATGCCAGGCTAATATAAAAATGAAATTAGCGGGTTCTTGCGTACACTCGAAAATAGATAGCTTCTTTAATCTTTCTAAAACAACACAGTTTTATGCACAATGCCGTTGGTCTTGCCTTCATTTGTGAAAAACGCAAACAATTTTTTCGGCCTATAGATACCGCAGTAACAGTAAATAGGTATATGGGGAAAAATTCTTGAAAATCGGTCCAGTTGTTTAAAAGCTTTTAATATGACTACTTAACCGTACTTATATTATAACTCTTTCAAGGTTTTTTTTTTTTTTTAAAGAAATAATCTATTTCCTTCCTCAGTTTAGCGGTTTAGTCGCTGGCTACAGGTTTTCCAAATTTCATATTACAGTCAAATTTTTAAGAATTACTGATTTTTTTTCAAACATGACTCATGTAAAAACAATTATCTGGAATAATACACTCATATTATACAATATTCTTTTTTTTATTGTCCTCATTTTTTTACCATTTTTTTTTTCGGGGAAGGGAAATTCGAAACCACTTCCCGTTTTTGATTTTCAAATGGCAACCTACATTAAAAATTCCATAAATAGATGAAATTTTAATTTAAATACACTTTGCTGTTGACAAATTTAATTTTCGTCAAACTGTTAACTCCTGTCAATCTATTTTTTATAATAAAAAAATAAAGGTAAGATAACTACTGATGTAGGTGGGAAGTTGGAAAGGTAGGATATAAGACGGGAATTTAATGTATATCTGTAAGCAACGATAAACCATTGCTTAAGAAAAAACGATTCTGAGCGGAGTTCAGTTGATAGTGATGCTTTGTCAACAATATATATGTCATTTATAGTAAAATAATAAAACAGGCTTTACATATTTTCTTTATAAAATTTGTTTAATGTTGTATTGATTTTCCCAATTTTCCTAAATTTTTCCCGATTTTCCCCTGTTTTATTCCGGTTTTATACATTTGCTTAGAAAACTCTAGAGAAAATCAAAAAAATTACCTCTCTAAAGTACCTCGCTAATGAAATTTCCTTATAAAAACAGCAATAATTAGCAATAATTAAAAGTTGGAGCAAACTTACTGGTAGAAAAGTTGTGCACAGAAAAAAAGAAAGCAGTAATATATTTTAACTAATATCTACATTTCTTATTTTTTTTCGGTTTTTCAAATTTGATGAGAAAACTCCTGAGAAAATCGAAAAACGACCTACCTAAAATAACTCCCCAAGTTGAACAAAAAAAATAAAAATAAAATAATAAACATCTTTGTAGAACCATAGGCTTCTTCACTCCAATCAGAATCTAAAATAAATAAATATATGTTAAATAGAGAACAGTAAAAATGAAATTAATTACCTTTTTGAATTTCAAAATGCTTTGCAGCTATAATATGTTTGTAAAAAATAAAAATGTACGGCGTATAATAATAATTACTTAAAATCCAGTCTTATAAAAAAAAATCAAGTATACATTGTTTACAAATTAACACTTTGTTACACTATTGTTTAAGTGAGTTTTAGTAGGGAGGTAATTTTTAGAAATGTATTTTTTTCTTAATAACGGATACATAAAAACTAAATAAAATTATTGGAAAATGTACCCGGTTATTTTTATGAAATTACTGATTTTACGACGACCACGTATTAAAATACAGTGAATTTCACTTAATGTGATCGCTGGTTAAATAGAATCAACCGTTTATTGAAATCAAAAATGAAAATTCTAAACCTGCAAATCGTATGTTATTAACGTTTAACTAGCCTTTTATTAGAATCACCAAATACCGGATAATTAAATCACTTTTATGAACATGTTTATCGTTTTTATGGTATTGTATGATTTTATTATAGTTGTATGTATTTTTATATATTTTTTTTGTTGTATGTTCCAAAAGTTACAAGTACAATGTACGTACATTGTACATGTAGTTAATTTTAAGCGGAACTCGCAGTAATTACAATCGTCTGTTGAGTATTTGGTGGCTTTTGAATTGAACGGTAGATTGTTTTTCGGGACGGAGTTAGTAAACACGATACCCGAACATACGATAATTTTTAACGATTATTTAAATTAGTCTTACTTAAGACGAAAAATGCATTGTAGAGAGAAGGCCCCTCTAAATCTGGATCTAAAAGAAATATAAAAATTAAAAATAATAAATATATATAATATAATTAATTGTACACGCGCTTAAAATCCCAAAAGACGCGAAATTCAATATAAAAAGCGTGTACACTGTACAGTTTATAAGCGGGTTGTAAGCCATGTTTGTGTACGTTCACCCAGAAAAAATGAAAACTGCGGACAGTTTGTACTATTTAAAAAATGTATACATTTTACATAATTCGTTATTACAAAACACAGATATTCAACAGACATAAATAATAATTATAATAAATTCGTGCTATGTACAGGCTTCGTGAATATTTAAAACATTTACTATCAATTGTGAGTCATAAAAACATGTAAATTTAAAAAAGACGCCCTAGAATAATGGGAACGGGTACAGCCACTGTTATAGGTAATTTAATGTATACATGTAAGCAACGACAAACCATTGCTTACGGAAAAACGATTCTGAGCGGAGTTCAGTTGATAATAATGCTTTGTCAACAATATATCTATGTCATTTTATAGTAAAATAATTAAATAGACTTTAGACATTTTTCCGTTTTTTTTTTTTTTTTTGGTTTTTCACATTTCATAAGAAAACTCTAAAATAAAACAAAAATGGCCTGTTTATAGTACCTCCCGACACCGATTTCTTTTCAGAAAAGTTACTACACACAAACATCGGAGCAAGTACTCTGGTAGTCCACAGAAAAAAAAAATAAAAGAATAAACATCTTTGTAAAACCATAAGCTTCTTCACTCCACTCAGAATCTAAAAATTAAAAGTATGGTAAATTATTTCAAGTAATAGTATATTTGTTATTTTTTTATTTGTCGTGCTGTGTGTACTGGCTTAGTGATTTTTTTTTTTTTTTTTTTTTGTACATTCGATTATTTTTATTGTATTTTTTTTTTTTTAAACTACTAGCACATTTATCCAATTTCAATGATCTAAAAATATTACAGAAACTTAGATTAACCGATCCAACCACTTTATCGGATGGACTGTTCCATCCTTCGCTAAAATTATTTGTCCTAGGTAAATTATTAATCGTTTGGTGTCAGACATTTCAAATTTGTAGAGATAATCTAGATATGCCATACTTTCTGCTAATATATGTTTATCCGTTCTTAAAATGATATATTCATACCCATATTTAAACAATTATGGATTTATGTTAGTAGTTTGGCATTGGTTCATAGTGTATTAAGTTATGTTCTACAATGACACTAAATTCATACCGATCAAAAATGATCTAAAGTTTTGAGTAATTTTATTTTAATTTATCTTTTAAAATATATTTCACGTCTTCCAGATTATTTCCACCGTGCATAGTATCCGTGATTAATTTTGACCAGTTAATTTCTACCGTACAAAGTGTCCGCGGTTATGCAACACAAACAGTAAATAGTACAAACTGCCCATTTACCATATAAGCGTGATTGATACTAGTAGACATTTTAGAATTTTTAAAATCAATAAAAATAACTTATATTTCTATCGAATCACGGATTTATTTGCAATGTATACATATATATAAACATTATCTATACATTGCAAATGTATACATATACAGTAATTAGTCCTTGATAACGTCCATATCAGCTCGAAAACTATTTGCTTTTTTGGAATATATTTATTTTTTTTTTTGGACCACTTAATAACAAATTTCAACTAAAAAATTTATTTAAAGTAAAACGTCATCTATTTATGGAATTATAATTATAGTTTAGTTTTGAAAAGTGGGTGATAATTTCACTCCCTAAAATAAGGACGACAAAAATAGAGTTGACGTATAGCTACTTGTTTCATAAGTTGTCCGAAAGAAAAAAAAATTCCGAAAACAAGTAAATACTTTCCGAGATAATTAGTGTCTTATCGAGGATAAATCACATTGTACATCATACGATGACACAAGCAGCAACAAATTTAATGCGATCGAAAATCGCAAAAGTGTCAGATACTAAATATTATATTTGACACAGAATGTGTCTCGACAAAATATAACAACCATTCAAAAAAAAAAAAAAAATTAGTTTTTCCGATATTAAAAATTGGTATAACTTACAATTAAACCCACCGTATTCTAAGTACCCTAAAATTACAAAGTTACTTTAAAATTTCCAGCACATCACAATACGATATAGATATAGTGCTGCGTGTCTATTAACCATTCGGTGGCGCAACTAGAGTTCAAATTACGTCGTCTTGGGGGTGCTACAGTTATGAAATCATAACATAACTTCCAACATTACGCATTTCCAATATTAAGTTTATGCTATTATTAGAAAAAGCTTTTGACACATTTCATTTTTAAGTATTGTACTTTAAATCGTTAAATTGATAAATTTAATTTTCTATCGATGCCAGCGGATCTGTTCAATATTTTTTTCCGGGACAATTTAATTCACTAAATCTCTTTCTGATTACTTAAGTTTACAATGTTATCGTTTATAAATGTCTGCGACGTTCTATCATAGCATATACAATAATAATTATATAATATATTATACATATATACGTGTTCTTGATTTATATCGTGATCCTATTAATAACTTTTACGGCATATTCTATTAAAATGTACGAGTAATCTCACCATGATGATATTACGTTACTTATCCTTTATAATTATGATAATATAATATAATTGGAATGTAAGATAAGAAACAAAAAAACCTATAGTACGTTTTTTTAAAAATGAAATGTAGTGTTAAATTTATCGGTACCTATTTGATATCGTCGCAACGACGTGAAACTTGGGGAGGGGTGGGTGCTTCCTAATTCCTATCACCTCCGTAGTTGCGCCACTCTTAAGCAATCATAGTTAATTCAGTGGCGTATCGGCAGGTGGTAAAATCATTAAAAGCATATTTACGCGTAATAGACCAAATGAACTTTTTTATTCAAAAAGGTTTTCCAAAATGAAATACATATATTATATTTTAATGGGGAATCTCGTACGTATGCGTTTTTAATAGATATCAATCAGACAAATAAATAGAGGTGGACACAAAATTAAATTTTTATTCTTGAAATCGAAATATACGTAACATTATAATATTATAAAGGTACCTAAGCCACACGCATATTATAATTATCATGAAATTCTCTCGGAAATATCGTTTATTTTTCTATAGGTGTCACCAAAAATTTCATTGAAATGTGTAGGTACTTTTTCGATTTTTGGTGAACATGTCCATTATTATCATATAAATTATACAGAACACAATGTAAATAGCTACTCCTGTAATAGTTCATCGTTACAAATACCAACCGGTACTTGTCATAATCACGAAACAAGGAATCAATTGTAAATCTGTTATAATGTGAATATTCGAATATGTTCATTTCTCGTACTCCTGTGTATGTTATAGGTATCGACATTATGTAGATACCGAATAGATTTGTTAATGTTTCTAAAATCACCAACAACAAACACTATCAGTGTATTTCGATTACACAGTACAAATACAGTTATTGTTAATTACTAAATCGCAAATATTACCAGCACAACCTGTACAAAAAAAAAAAAAATAATAATTTGCATAAAAAACATTAAATTCAAGAGTATTATCATGAAATAATAATTATACGTTAATTGATTAAATACAATCAATCGGTGTACAATGTACATCATTGATATGTACCATACATTTTTAAAGTACAGCCGTACAGTAGAGACAGTCGTCAATATCGAACATAGCTGCAGAATTATCGTCAAATTATTAAATTATAAATATGGAGTTCAGACAAGCCGTCACATCCCCATAATATTATCAACAAATTAAAATATCCCATTTTTTTTAAGTTCTGTTTTAGTATTTATGGTTGAACATCTTTAAAAGTAATAGCGGATACTAAAGAACATAATTATATTTATCTTACATTGAAATGCAATTAAAAAAAAAAAAAATTATTTAAAGATTCCGGTAGGACTGGTAGTATTTGAAATTTTCAACACCGATATTCGGTATTTACAGTAAACTCGTTATAAATAATTGGCATGATAATACAATAATTTATTTTTGGGATAAAATACTTTATATTACCTATTTCAAAATCATACGCTATTGCACATTGAAATTAATTTAAATATATAGTTATAGCTAGGTGATGTTTTCCATCCGACTGCAATCGTGTACGGTTCTTGTCTATACTATTCACTTATCATCATCAGTGTGACGGGTTAGGTGAATGTGAAGTTATTTGAATAACGTGAATTCCTTATGACGATAACGGTTTAATAGTATAGGTAATCTTATTCGATACGAGTGCAAAAAACAGGACTATTGCAATGTATTAACTCGAAAATAAAAAGAAACTAAATTCATAATTTGAGATAGTTAAATTGTTTGTAATTTTATTGTTGTTTGACTTATAATATTATACAATGTTCTTGGTTAACAATACATAAATCGAAAATTGTATGACGATTTATAAAGTAGTTTTTTTTTTTTGTTTTACAATTATCTAATAATATAAATTAAATACACATACAAATAATATAAACTCAGAACATGGTCTTCCGATTTGCAACACGAATGTTCTGATTGTGCGTTATTATGAAATACAAATGTATTATATAACAGAGGTGGCCAATCGGCCGATCAGTAGATCACGGACGGTTTAAATATCGATCTCTTTTTTGTAAGAACTTATTTTTATATAATTAGTAGATAAATCACAATAATTGCTGATCCATTTTTATTTTAATGTATCATTATCTTTCTGTCGGTTCATCAAGTAACACAGTTCAACAGAGTTTACAATAGCAAATGTTTTTTACCACACCGTTATATTAGTCTTAATAAAAGTGCGATGAAATACTTATTTGACTATAGATTTTAATTTTATTATTATTTATTAGCTTTACGTGTTTGTTTATTATCAATCTATTGAGTAATTTATATTCATACATTAGCGTCAAGAAGTCGATCCTTAAAGGAAAAATATATTCTTAGTAGATCATTACCAAGAAAAGTTTGGCGACCTCTGCTATATAATATACATACACGTTATATATAAATAAATAGACTGAAAAAATTTACCCATCAAATATCGATTGAATTCTTTGTCTATTTTTTTTATAAACATGGCAAAAACAAATCTCATCAATATAATTACATGCATTTCTTCACTTTTTGACTTGTAACAGTTATTTTATAATTATTATTTAATTTTTTTTTTTTTATTAGGTGGGAAAAATTCGAATCTATTTACAGGTACTATCTAATATAATACATAAACTTACTGCCCAAAAACTGTGACTTTATCTTGGAATCTATAAAATTAATAAATAGACGAATATTATAATTTAGATGTACAGAATTTCAGGTATATCTGAAGTATTAACTTTTTTTCGGAATTTTTTTTTTTAACAATTCAAGATAGAAACTCTAAAATATACGTAAAATTTACGTGTAGCAACTTTTTTGAAAGCTCAAATAAAATCACTAAAGTAGGAAAAAACGTAGGAAAACGTATAACTTCACGGTTTCATTATTTTATAAAAACACAGACGATGTTTTTATATCACAAGATACCTTTTTTGTTGCCTTTTTGATTTACTTTCTTAAGGGATTTTAATTTTTAGGGAATTTTTTTTTCTGTAATGCGGTTATAAATACACGTAGAGACTTGAAACTTGGTACTAATACTTATATTGGACTTACCCAGACGTGGTAAAATATTCGAAATCATTATTTTCAGAAAAAGTGTTATCGTTGTAAATCGGAACGAAATTGCTGGTAGAAATGTTGTTCACAGAAAAAAAAATATACATATTGTAAAACAAATACATTCCTCGCTCTACTCAGAATCTAAAATTGACCAGGCATCACCAGGCGGGACAGTTAGTATATTTATAATTATCTCAGAACTATGATTGAACTTATGTATAGACTTAACTGCATATAACTTATGTATACGTACCATTCGTTACTTTATCGAAGCAAAATTTCATCGGCGTTTGCATTGTTCCTGTATTCAATAAGAAAAGTTTCTTTACGTTTTGATTCGATTAAAATATTTATTAAAATATTTGATTCAATATAATGAATAATAATTAATAATATTATACAGTGTTCTATATAATTGGACGGCATTTTATTAAAAGGGCATGTACCATTAAAAATCGAAAAATACGTTTTTGGTATCAAAAAAGCTACTGTTGTAGGTGAGAAGTTGAGAAGGTAGGATATAGACCAGAATTTAATATATATCTGTAATCAACGATTAAGTATTAACCATTTCTAACTAAAAATGATTCTGAGCGGAATTTTGTTGATATTGTTGATTTGTTAACAACATATGTATATCATATTATGATAAAATAATAGCATATACATTATGTATCAAACATTTTCTTTAATAATATTTGTTTGATATTGTACCTATTTTACCGTTTTTTCCCATTTATTGAGAAAACTCCAGGAAAAATCAAAAAATAACCTCCTTAAAATACCTCTTCAGTCAAATTTCCTACTAGAAAAAGTGCTATTATTGTGAATTGGAGCAAAATTACCGGTAGAAAAGTTGTTCACGGGTAAAAAAAAATAAATATTGTGAAATTATAAGCTTCTTGGCTCCACTCACAATCTAAATTAGGTGCATAAACTGGTAAATCTAAAAGGGCGTGTTTAAATACAGAAAATTAAGTTGGTAATGTAAACTAAAAAATATCCAGGCTCCCTTTTAAAATATAATTAAATCAACACTGATTTATTTAAAAAGGTGTATGTCACATTCAATGCATATATACTTTGTGTACAAGGTATTATGTTGTGTATGATTAATTCTATCATTATTTTCCATGATAAACATCAATAAAAACTGTTTTGTTGTTTCTTTGCAAAACAATCTTTTTGCATGCAGAAAAGTGGTACACGCCCTTTTAACAAAACACTGTGGATATGATAACACAAAATGTATAAGCCAGGTGGACTCATAATGTAATGGGATTTTATTCAGGAAGGTCACACGTAAATGTAGGTATCAACAATCGAATAGGTACACATTTTAAGGCGATTTTCATAAATATATTCTTTGGGTAAAAATAACACAAATATAATACATAATAATATACAACATACGTTTTAAATGTTTGGAAAAATCGAGAAAAAAAATCATATTATTTTTTAATCATCTTTTAGATCGTTATTTCTCAGGCTATTTTCGAGATAGATAAAAATTGTATTAAACAAAGTTGATTTAAAGAAACAGTTGATCTATTCGGACCTGGTTCTGGAAATAGGTATGTTTTCATTTTCAAAATTTAAATAAAAGAATGCCCGCACCGTAAGTGATACAATATTTTGAAAATTGACTCAAAATGTGTATTTCGAAAACCCCTCCTTACCCGTCCTAAAAAAAAAAAAACCCATTTCAATACGTCTATATACGGCTAAAATAATACACACCGACTGCTATATTTTCATAAAGCGTTATGAAATATTTCTTCGATGACACTACAAATAATAAATAAACGTAAATAGAATTTTTAAATTTGTTTATTACCTACATGGGAACATTTTATATAATAATATTTTAACAATTAAAAGTCGTAAACAAGTAGTCGTTTGTTTGGATTTTAGGAGGATTAATAGTCTTCCAATTCAAACATGTAGATATAGGTTAGGTATAAAGTTTTTTTTAACACGATGTAACATTTTAGGCCAAAGGGTTACGATTGGAAAACGTTTTCTGAAGTCAATAAATTAATTGTCACGACTGTCCGTGCTCAACCATTAATAAATACATAACGTACCTACAACAAAAAGTCCCCATAACTCACTGAATGATTTAAAACAAACTAACACTCACTCGATTTTAGTGCATTAAAATCTAGAAAATCGAAATAAAACCGTCAGCGTATATTTCATTATGTCAAAACAAACAAAAAAAAAAAAAAACATAAAAAACATGTTCAAGAATAAAATACGTTTCTTTGTTTCAGTTTCAAATTTATATTTGGCTTCCAGTTATTAATAAACTATTCAGTAATTATTATTATTATAGTTCTCTATACAGTTTTACGTAATTTTAACACATTAAGCATTTTAGATTCTAAGTGGAGCGAGGAATGTATTTTATATTTGTAGTCTTGAAAAATTGATATCAACTTTGAGCAGTTGAAGTTCAAATCCATAGCCAGAGTATAGGCAGTTTTTTCCAAAAAGTTTTTATACTCATTATCGAAGCTAATGAATTTACTTGTACTTTTAAAAAAAAAACGTCGATTTTATTTTTTATTTTTTTTTCATATAGGTTTAATAAACTAAAAACTACCGTTTATTTTATCTACCTAAGTATTTTTATAAGGGACAGTATATTGATAGGAGAAAATGTTTTTGGACCCCAAAAATTGCATTATGACAAGATTTCTAATTGTAGCTGTAGTATTATAATAAAATTATAATTTATAACAATGCATTACGTTGATAAGAATATCATTAAAATGTTATAATCAACATAAGACACAACACTTTTGCATATAGTGGTATAAATTCACTGATATCAACGTTACAGTGTTAAACACTGAAGTACTCAATATACATTTATATAATTAATTTCACTGTACATACTTATGTTAAGGAAAGCGTAATCAACGCATTCCGAGGGCGTACAACAATCTAATAAAATATATATTATGCAATGACGTTTATTAATGACTGATATTTTATAGAAATATTAAATAACTTACTATTGAATTCAGAATTTATACTCTCTGTATGAATATAATAAAAATTATATTATTTAAAAAAAAAACAGTTGTCTTAGACTAATATCTATATTCTATGCTCGATAAATTATCAATTATGTAAAAATTTAAAAAAAAAAATGTAATATATATTGGTTAGAGTGGATCAAAAGATGTTGAAATTTTATTTTTCACGGACATATCTTTATATACTATTTGTAGAGGTGTAACAATACCATCGAATCTTATTTCATGAAAAAATTGTTCCAATTTGCGAGCAGTAAATTTAGGATAATAATTTATGTGTATGTATTTTAATAATTTTTCACGGTTTAAATTACCACTGTTAGTGGCACACACACAAAGGGTTTTAGGGGGTCATAATTTAAGCCATAAAAAAAAATAAAATACATACACCTAAAATATTAACCTAAAACCACAATTGAAAAAATATGCGGAATCGTATTATTTTAAGGAAAATAAAAATCATTTGTATAACTGAAATTTATGTATGCAAAATGGTATATTCCAAATAGACACTGTACAATATCTTAAATATTCAATTAATAATTTATTTTGAGTTATTATAATTATGAAGATTATTATAATAACCTACTGTTTAGTTAACATTAATATTTCATTAAAATATTTACATTAAAAAGAAAACATTATAATAACATTATTAGAAATTAAATTTATTAAAAAATGTCTAACTGCAAAATGAATGACAAATCAATGTTTAAAATATATTGTTATATTAATATTTAAAATTTAATGTTGCATTAGTTAACTAAGGAATTAATTGTCAATATTTAGGCAGGTAGATAGATAGATATAGTTATATAATAGCTTTTTAGTAACTCGTTTTTTGTTTTCATTAATTATTGAACGTTGTAAATATTTAAAACGCCCAATAATTATTTAAACATTTATTTTGTTCAAAAAATGATATTTCAATGTTTTTTTTTTAAAATTATTTTAACGTAGAAACAATGGCAATTTAATAATAAATCTATATTTAAGATTTTAAAATTCACATTAACTTAACATTAAAACAATATTACAATGCTATGTGGGTTGTATAGAATATTGGGTTCTTCCACCAGTAATCTATTCACCTAGTAATCCAACCTCTTCGAGAGCACATGCGGATGCATTATTATGTCCGATTATGTATATTAAGTCCGGATTCCCATTTATACAACACGACACAACAAGACACGACAGACAAAATGTTGTCCAGTTCACAAATAACCGACCGGCAAAGCACTACACTATATTGAAACGATATTTGGTTACAATTTTAGTTTCGATCAATCGGATTTCTGTATTTTAACCACTTTTTCGACGCGGAATGGAGTGAGTTATCCAGTCAAAAACAAATGGAAACACGTTATATGAATTTCGCAATCAAGTTTTTTTGAATCAACCTTATATATACATATGTTTTTATTTTAGTTTATTAATTTCATTATACGGATATATTTACAAAAAAAAAAAAGGACGGACACACTTCATACGTAGGTGCAGCCACTGTTGTAGGTGGAAAGGTTGGAAGGGCAGACGGAAATTTAATGTATATCTATAACCAACGATAAACTTTTGCTAAGGAAAAAACGATTCTTAGCGGAGTTCAGTTGATAGTGTTGCTTTGTCAACAATATAAATAAGTATATGTCATATTATGATAAAATGATTACAACAATGTGCGTTTCCGTGACAACAATGATTGTTTAAAAAAAATTTTAAAATAATTAAAACTTAATAATAACAAAAAATAAATAACAACTGTTGCCAATGAAAAACTATATGTTTAATCTTTCAATTATTTTTAACCTAAAGAACCGTATTTTCCTCATTCTCTCGAACATAATGAGAATTTCAATAAATTACTTTTCTAATGTATCACCCAGAGAATATTTTCATTCAGAAAAGGTGCTATATACTTGATAATTGGAGTGAGCTTTCTGGTTGAAAACGTGTTCGCATAAAAAAAAAAAATAAAAATAAACGCCAATGTAAAACCAATACATCCTTCGCTAAACTCAGAATCTAAAATATGTATATTTTAATTTAATTGATTCCGATAGACCGAACAAAACATTCTCTGCCAAATGGCCCGTTATGACTGTAACAATTATAATTTTGTGTAATATTTGTATACACTAAATAAATTTACATTTTAATTGGGCAATTGTCTGTCTAAATAATAAATAATAATTATAATAACGTCGCGTCGTGTCGTGTTTGTATTGATGACTAATAAGTTTGTAGAAAAATAATTATTGTATTTGTATATCAGTGTTGGCAAAATTTTATCTAGATAATTATTCGAACAAATGTGTATTCCGATGATTTTTTACAATTATTTTAATTATTTTTCGTTCGAATAATTTTTGTTTATTTTATTTGTTTAAAAACATTGGTTGGTAATTCAAAAATAATCAATTTTATTTTCGTTACTAATATACCGGGCATTAGAGCATTTAAAATAAGCATCACCCGTGCGATTCGATCGTATTATATAGATTTAGACTATAACGGAAATTGCAATATTTTCGTATAGAGCTCAATATTATGTTTGAAAATTATTCGAATAATTAGTTTTAAAATTATTTGAATGCATTTGCATTCGAATAAAAAATAATTCGAATAAGAAATTACTCGAATACAATTTTATTTAAATAATTATCTAAGTACAATTTTATTCGAATAATGCCCAACTTTGGTATATATTATATTGATAGAATATTTTTCCGCGTCTTGCTGTATCATGCAATAAGTGTGAATCGGGTTTAGATGGAATTAGTCGTGACCCGTCTGTGCACCACTGATCTTACCAATATTAGTTAGCAAAAATTATTTGACTTACCGATACATGCTAAAATAGAAATAGAACACCAACAATTTTCGCATTTCAACAGGAAACATTGTACAAACAAACAAAATCAATAACACAAATAATATTATGGTTCTTTACTCGTATACAAGTATTACTATATTTGTTCCCTGGACTTTTTTTTTTTTTTAAATATTTACATAAACTTAGAATAGTTAATAAACTTAATATAACATATTTTATTATGAGTATTATTATTATTATTGGTATCTATGCTATTTTTTTTTTTTTTTTTTTTTTGCTTGTGATAGTATTATAGTGTTTCACTCAAGCATTTTGAAAATTGCATTAATCATTAGGTATCTATATATAACTTAAAAATGTATATTTTGTTATGCCATGAAATAATTTATTATGAACACCTCACCCCCTCCCCGTTCGACAAATCTTGATTGTGCCACTAGTCTAAAATATAGTAAGTATAAGTAACCTACCTATACGTATACAATATACACAAGCATGTACATGTATTACGTTAATACTTAATAATGGTCTTACTCTGTCTTTGAATCAATTTATTTGAATCTAAATCAAAATTGAAATATATTGGACAATCAGATTGAAAATAACAGTTTAAACAGTTTTAAATAGACGTCAAACATACAATATAATATAGATATTTGACCGCGTATATCTAAACATTATTACTATTTACATAAACTGTTATGCAAATAACATTAGTAATAAACTAATAACCTATATAAATACAACACTATAGTCTTACCATCATTACTCTGATCTAATTCAACCTTTTCCGGCGAATCTATAAACAAAAATTTTAAATACAAATCAATAGGTTTTAGATTTATTTTATTATTATTATGCGTATACTCGTATACGATCTAACTACATTAAGCGTATTTGTTTTTACATGTGTAAAACACGTATGCATCGTATGAACACATATTACCTGTTGGTCCAAACTCGCAGATAAATAGTATTCCAAGGAAGTTAATGTCCTCCTAAGTGTCAACTTAAACCTCAATTGATGAAAAACCTCAAATTTAAGTAGACCAAGAGTAAGAAGTAGGGCCCTGCTAATTAAAGGGCGCATGGGAGCATTTTTCCTAAGACGCCAAGCCTTTTTAAAACTATGGAGCGCTCAGTTAAATATAAAACTCGAAACAAAATTAACGAAATCACTAAGATAATGTCAATTGTTATTTGTTTTATTTTCAAACGCTTTGCTTAGAGTAATAATGAATATTTATGGGTAATTAGAAGAGCGTAAGTACAACCTAGTAAAGTAAAATTTGTATCAAAAAAATAATAATTCAGGAGTATGGAAAAATCTTATTATTATAAAATGTTGAAATTTTTATATAAATTTAATAAAATTCTAAAATAACTAATTTAGGGTAGACAATCAACCACCCAAATCATCCTCAATAGGAAGCGTTTAAAAATTGAAGTCCCGGGGCGTCCAATGGCTTAATACTGCTCAGGTGGGAAGGTTTGGCGACTTCTCGTGTTTCCACCCCTATCTTTATCACAGTTAACCGTTGTTATTCGTTTATATAAAAAATAGTTTATATCATAGTAAATATATAACAGTGTAAATAATAGTAATAATCGTAAATAATAATAATAATAATAATTGTCTTACTCGGGACAGTCAAATTATCAGTAATTTTTTCATAGTTAGATTTGTCGAGTTCACCTATAGATCAACAAATTAAATTAAATTATTTTTCCAAAAATACCAAAACCCATCCACATTATCCTAGGACTGTGTGACACTTCCCTCCTAATTAAAGAGAAATTACGGGGAGGGGGGAGAATTGAGCATATATGACTCGCCTTTTTATAACGATTAATAAGTATAAAATATTACAATTTAGCGGTCGAGAAGTCACGAACTGATAAACATTAATTTTCATATACTTAATAGATAACTGAGTAGGTAGGCGCCTATTACACATGGTCATTGTATACATTATATTTAGAGTTAATCTATCTAAAATCATAATACATAATATATGTAAGTCCCGGAAGTTCATTCTCAAATCATACGAAAACTAATAAAACTTATCGAGATCGATTGAAAACGTATCGCTTTCGATTGGTTTTTAATCGTCTAATCGAAAACGCTTTCTGATTGAGAATAGGCCCCTGTCTCTAATTTCATC